GCGCTGGCCAAAATCTGCAAGGAGGCACACCGGTCAGGCTTTGCCAAAGTTGACAGTGTTCCCATTGCAATGCCCATTCATGTTGCCAAGTTTGAAGGTGAAACCGTAGCACAATGGTGCAAGATCAGAGAGGCTGATTTTGTTGCCCGCAAAGCGCTGCCATGTGCTCAAACAGCTCCGTAATTAAAGAGCTCCTCTCCAACAGATGCCCCCATCAATATTGGTAGGAAGCAGATTGCTGAAACCACAGGGGACCCACGGTGGCTCAGGCCTGAGCAACCCTTCAAACACCACAGCCACATAGCTTTGAGCGCGAACTGCACGCATGAAAGAGTTGCTATGCTTAGCATGCAAAAACCTTCTGTTTTGTTTTACGAGCTCAGGACTGGCTTAGCCAGCTTTGGCCACTTTGGCCTTTGGTGGACCCCTCGGGTGAGATTGAAACTTTCCACATGCAGTGGGGACATACAAAGAATAAGCCCTAAAAATGGCGGCCTGCAGTCGGGCTAGTTGCCGAGCTTCGACCTTGCTTTCGCCCTTTGCCAGGGTCTTCCTGTAAACATTCGAATAGACATGATTTGCCTTTATGTGGTTGGGAGCCGCGATGCCACCATCGGCAATGACTTGCTCCTTCGGAGGCACGGGCACACCGTTGGCGGAGGCCGCGGGATCCTGCCGCCCCAAGAAAGGCGAAGCAAATGGAAAGTAGGCATGGGCTCAAGCTGCTTTGGTCATTTAGAAAAAAAAGCGTGCGCCTGGGGATCACAAACTGTGTCAGCAGGAAGCTCTTGCTGATCCTGCAGGGAACTCTGTCCTGGCAGAGTCGCCTGCGCTGATGCCTTGGCCTTTGCCTTGGGGGCTTTCTTTCTTCGCTTTTGTGTGGTTTCAACCAGTTGCTCCTGGTCACCATGCTGTGTGGCTGGCTGTTCCTGGTCCTGGTCTGCGGTTGGCTCCGGCTTCGCATCCTGTGTGTCCGCGGCTGGCTGGTTGTGGCGCCCTTTGCGTTTTTTCTCGCAAGCAGGAGGTTGGCTGCTGGGCGGCCCTGCCTGCTCGTGTGTCTCTGCAACTGCAGGTTGGCTCTTACCTTTGGCTGCTGCTTTTGGCTTTCGGCCCTTTGTTTTGTTAGCCATGGCTGACTGCTCGCTGTACAGAGGCGGCTCAGCTGTGGCCACCTCGTCCCTCACTTCGGTCACAAATGCCGGGGTGCTCAAAGGATATTTCGCCTGCTGTTCCTTCTCGGGAGCATTCTGTTCCTTCTCGGGAGCAGCCTAAGGTTCGGGTAACCACACATGTACAAAGACTACAATTAGTCTCTTTGTCCCCATGCACATTCACCATGCCACCTTATTTGCACACCTCCTCCCGAAATTTAAGAAGGGTGACGTTGCAGAGTTTCGCATCTCCCCCAAAATCGATTCGCGAGGGGTTATGTTCGCAGCGTCAAGCCCGCGCTTTGCAGGCGAGGCGCATTTGCCGGGACTTTGTCTGGCAAGGCCGGGGCGGGGAGCTCCTCGTCGTCCGAGATCTCGTGCACTGCAGGTGGAACCTAGGTGCGGAAATTGTTTTGTTGTTTAGATGCCGGATTCACTTGATAGCTCATTCTCTTACAACGCCGAACCCATGCGAAACAATGGCCGGCAAAGCTTTGCACGGTTAGATGCAGGCTGGGGGCCACAGGTTCCGTCAAGCAACCATCGTTCTCGGCCTCCGTAATCTCCAGAACCTGCCACGGGGATGAAGAAGGCCATAGCCCCATAGACTGCTTGCATGGAGTGGATTGCTTGGGCTGTTGATGCAACATAATGCAACAGAGCCATGCAACCCACAGATGCCGGGATTCATCAGCACAGCCGGAATCAAGACCGCTCAAACGCAGGGCGAACCAAGGCCCCGATCAAGCTCAGGGGAATCAAGAGCCCCGATCAAACTCAATGGGGATAAAGAGGGAATCAACATGAGGATAAAGAGGGAATCAAAATGGGGCTAAAGAGGGAATCAAGACCCAGCTCAAACTCAGAATGAATCAAGGCCCCGATCAAACTCAATGGGGACAATGAGGGAATCAAGACCCAGCTCAAACTCATGGGGAATCAACGCCCCGACTCAATGGGGATAAAGAGGGAATCAAGATGGGGATAGAGAGAATCAAGACCCAGCCCAAACTCAGAATGAATCAAGGCCCCGATCAAACTCAATGGCCACCGGCCGGGGATAAAGAGGGAATCAAGACCCATCTCAAACTCATGATGAATCAAGGCCTACGCGTGAGGCAGGCATGCAAAAAGACACTTTTATTTTTTAAAACAAATATATATATTTCTTTTTTATGAGTCTTTGACTAGACCTAGACCAGGCTTACTGCCTCTTCGACACCCTGTCGCACTAAATTGATAATTATGACGATACTAATGCTCATGGAAAGGTGACCCAGCTCAACCCGATCAAACTCAATGGGGATAAAGAGGGAATCATTTGTTTGGCGCCTATGTCTTGCCCGTGCCAGGCCTCCACCTCAGCGTTGCTGCTGCAAGCAGGCAGAAGGTCACCGGGTCCGACAGGCGATTGACTGTGCGGCCACTGAGAGTCCTAGAGGCATTGTGTTCCCCTTTGAATGTGTATATCCCAATGTTTTGAAGTGGAGCGGTTGAATGTGTTCCCCTTCAACTTCATTCAAGAGGTGAGTCCTCCTTCGAGGGATCGTAGTAGTTGGTCGGCAGTTTCTCTGAATGTTGGATGTTGGTGCCCTCCATCTCGCAATCACCTGCCAAAAGCCACCCCCCCTCTATAGTGAAAGTGTCGGGTTTGAAGTTCTAAGTGTCACAGAAGTCTTGCAAAGAAGAGCGAGCCTGGGGTTGGTTGATCCTCAATATCGCAAATAGGAATCACCATGAGTTCAGATACCAATTCAATCTCATCCTCATCCAAATATTCGTGCTCTGGGGGTGCATCCGTGTTTTTTTTTGCGGCAGCCCGGGCGAGCTTTCTTGGGGTTCTCCTGCATGATCTCCCGCAGTTGTGATGCAACCTACAGTCACGGTCCAAACACGTACACATGTTAAAGATCAAGGCGTTGCATTTTGCAGTGTCCGGGGATATAGATGAAACCAAGCAGCACTTGTTTGAGTGTTTCGCTTCAGCGCTTTTCGCCAGTATCTCCTGGCATAGCTGAGGAGGTGGTACAGCGTGTAGGCTTCCTGCAAGGGCGTTGGACGGGTCATGCAATGACGATAACAATTCAACACGCGTGGCTGGATACTGTCCATACATGCATTATTATATGTCAAGGCTCGTCTAGGGCCCATCGCTTTCTGTCACGGACAAACTTCTGGCCGGAAAGGCGGTGATCTGCATTCTTGTCTAGATGTAAGAACGGGAGCTGCAAACCTTGAATGGTGATCTCTCCTGTAGGTCAGCATGCAGACAACAAGCGTGACAAGTTTGTTCCGCATATGGTGAAATAGGCAGGCATAGCACGCAAGTCCTTTGGGGCTGAGATTGAACAGCTCTTTGACCAACTGAAGGTAGCGCTCCAAGTCACTAATACTGATTTTCTCAACATCCTGGATGTCGGGAAACAAGGTCTTTTGTTTGAAGTCTTTGGCAGCAGCGCATTTCACGTAGGCAGCGCCAGGGAGATGTAGCATCAGAACTCCTCAGCTGGTTTCAGGATTCAAACTCCAACATGGAATGGGACCGTTGTTGCAACCCAGCATCGTGCCACTTCCTCCGATTTGCCATCCTCTAATCCCTCCATGTTTTCCCCACCAGCAATCATTGGGCAAGCAAGCTCGAGCTGAAGCAACGTGGCCGGGGCGGATCCCCACTGCGCACCCAAGCCCATGCTGTTGCCCAAACATGTTCAAGCTGCAGCTCCAGTATGCCCATTCTTTCCCCGGCCTCGCTTTCGCCAGAGTGACAAGTGCCCGCGAGGCATCGCAAGCTGAGCAAGCAGCCCATTGCGCGCAAAAATTGCGCTGTGAGTGCGATGCAGCCTCTAGCAACCTCCCTGCGTTGCATCACCCATATGGATAGGGCACCCTAGCTCCAAGAATACGGGTTCACCCTTCCAGCATGCGCTGACTGTTTCTCATAAATCCATGATGGTCCACACGGTTGCTTCATGGGTTTGACTGTTCTCATGTTCCGTCCTTTGATCAAATTGAATCGAAATGGCGCAAAGCTGATCGATGAATCCCGACCCCTCACCACGAGAACCCCGACCCCTGGCAATGAGGGCCCCGGGACGTCAGTCAAAAAGTTTGAGGGGCCAGGCACGTCATAAGCAAAGACCTTTCCGACGGCACGTGCATTGGAGGGGCCGGCACGTGCATTGGAGATACCTTGGACCCTTTGGGCAGGGGTCTTTTCAAGGCAAGGGGTTGAGGTCCAAAATCCCAACAATGGCTTGCCGTTTCCTGTAAACCACCATGTGAATGGCCTGGCAGAACCTGGCGTAGTATTGATTTGAAAAACAAAGTGTTGATTGTGCTCCAAGCTTGACAAGCCTACGGCCGGCAAAGCATCTAAGCAAGCCGCCCGAAAACGAAGCATGCGATTTCCAGAACCGGCTTGAACCAGGTAAATCAAGTGCGTCAGTTCGGTTGCGAGCTGGGGTTCCCCCGCTTTTGGATGGTGCTAAAGGCTGAAAGGGAAACCAACAAGAACACACCCCTTCAAATCTCTCGATTCCGTCAATGTGGCACGCGGTTTGGTTTCCCTCGGTCCATTTTTGGGCGTAAGAGAGAGAGAGAGAGGCCCCAAAAATTGTGCGTCCTAAAGAAAGGAGATCCCCAACATGCCAACAAAAGGACATACCCAAAGACCGTTTTCTGCATGTTGTTTCTTGTTTTTGGCAAGCATGAGTTTCCCCGAAAAGAAATCAACAGTGGCCAGATGCGCATTAAGTTGTCCCCCCTTGAACACCCACTTGAGAAAATCAAGCCACATGACGGACAAATGGGTGGATAGCCCCCCCCCCCTCCCCCTCCGCCCCACCCCAGGCGAGTTTGCTGGGCTGGCTTGCGGTCGCGCAGCGCCTGCTCCCTGGCTGCAACCTCGCGCGCAAAAATGTCCGATGGGTTTGCAAAATGGGGAATGGGGCCCTGGGTCCCAAGGGGAAATGCAATACGGCAGGGTGCACACTCACGTCCGGCGATGCCTTTTCAACTTGTTGGAGGGGTCCCAATTCAAAGTTAACCACAAAGATCTGTGCGTCCGGCGATGCCTTTTCAACTTGTTGAGGGGTCCCGATTTAAAGTCAACCACAAAGATGTGCGTCCGGCGATGCCTTTTCAACTTGTTGGAGGGGTCCCAATTTAAAGTTACCAAGATCTGTGCAAAGGTTTCCGTCGGTATGGCCACTGGGGACCTGAAAAGGCATTGCCTTTGTCTAAAATCTTCGGACTGAAGGTCCTCCAGGATCAAAGTGTCGGAGCTCCAACTGTCATACCCAGTGCCTTTTCGTGAACGACAAACCCCCGTCGGCCAGTCTGCAGTGAGGTTCTGCTTGGGGTGATGCTTGGTTTCTTGCGTGAGGGTCAAGGTGTTCAGGGGATGGATACTTTTATCATTTTTTCGCCAGACTCCCCTTTTCGCACCCAACGATGTTTGGTTTGCGCACTGTAGTGTTTTGCCTGGAAGCACGAGGAACCAAGCCCTCACTGTCGGGCCAATCCTTCAGCGCTTGGATGAAACAAGATACTTCTCTGGAGCGGTTCCAATGCTTTGCACTTCCCGTGGATATTTCTATTGACATTCTGAAGGGAACCCAAGGGCCTTGATTCAGGTAATCCTTGGTGGTTTGGATTGGGGCTTCAGAGGCATTCAAACCCCCTCCTTCCTGCGGAGAAGTGGACGCAGGCGCGACCCCGTCTTCAGCTCCCATGAGTCCGAAGAGTACGTGCCACATCCCATGGCCTTCTGCATTTGGGGCGCTGTGGTGGCGGCCTGGTTCGCCCCTTGGTGGAGACCATAGTGGCGTTGATGGTGTCCATAAGCCAAGACTCACTGCCAGGTCCCCCAGCGCCCTTCTCTCCAACTTTTTTCGGGGGAGGGTTTCCCTACTGAAATAGACAAAAAGGAAAAAGTTGGTACCAAATTATTGTAACCTCACTGGAGGACCTAGATTGAGTTCAAACAATGCCAGGCACATGAGGTCTGATGTTGCTTGCGGAGATCAAGTCAATGGGCTCGGTGCCATTGGATGTGTTGAAAAGGAAACCAGCATGAGAACACCCCAACCATATGGCTGTGGTTGTCAAAACCGTTTTGGATACCATTCTGGTGTAGGTGAATTCACCACCCCTTTTTAGAACCTATTTTAGTGGTTGGATTGGGATGTTCACTGGGCCCATGGCCATGTGGACCCCACTACCCCCCAAAGAAAAGTTTACCCCACAGGATCCTGGAAAATCGTATGGACAAGACAACCGCCCTGGCACGGGGTGGCCCCAGAATCCTTTGAATCAGATCTTCAGGCTTCATGTTGTTAGTAAAAAGGTACCCAATCTATTTTTTTTCCGTCCAAGGCCTTCCGGTGACCTTTCTTCAACCTTTTGGAGGCGGTAACGTCATCTAAAAAGGGTTCCTTCAAACTGGTGGAGTCGGATAGGCAATCCAACAGGTTCCCAAAAGCCCTTGGGGTGTGAACAAAGAGTTTGGACGTCCCAAAGTGGCAAAGTGGCGTCGTCTTTCTTGAAACAAGCAACTTGATCAAAATTGTGAAGGGGAAATCGTGTGATGGAGAATCCCTGACAGCTAACCAAAACCGGGACAAAGCAGGCCCGAATTCCTTACTGGCAAGGAAAACACACACACCAGAAAAGAATTACAATTCGCACTCCAAAGTGGCAAGAAACAGTGTGTCTCCTTACGTCCATGTCTTTTTCTGTGATTTGACCCTCACGCCTTGCCCGTTTAATCATTGGACACATGTTTCCATTCTCACATTTTGAGGGACTTCTCCCTTTAGGGGACTGCATTTACGGGACGAGCCGTGCACTCGACGGGCACCGAAGGCTCTGCCCTTCATGAAGATCTTCGATGTAGCTCCTGGGCTGATGGGCTCCCGCTCGCTCGGTGTTCTGTGTTCTGTTTTCGGGGAGACCTTTGTCAAGGTTCAACAGGGAAACCAAAACTTGACTGCTATTGGGTTAGCTCTTTAGACTTTAACTTGTTGGGAAATCACAGAGTTTTCCACTAAACCCCCAAAAGTTAAACTTTTTGCAGGGGGGTCAACAGCAACCAAGAAAATGAACAACAATTTTCGGTTTCCCCCAAGAAAATGGACACCAGCATTTCTCGTTGGTCGAAGTTCAATCTAGGTGTGGCGGTGTGGCGTGGTGGGGTGGTGTGTGTGACGTTGTGAATGTGTGTGTGTGTGTGGGTGCACCGAGTGCCACTTGAATTGTTGTTAAACATTGCTTTGCTGCAATGTGTTGGAACCCCCGTGAAGAACAAACATGGGGCCCAGTCTTGAGTTGGTGGGGTGGTTTGAAAGGAAGCTAAAGGGAATGCATGCCGCCATTTGTTTTGGCCATCCCTATTTTGACGCGCACACACACACACACACCTATCTGGGAATGACGTTTTAGTGGGGAAGCACCTCAAAAGTGGCGGGATATCTTCCAGGCTTATTTTTGCTCAGAATTTCTTGCTGAGTTTGTGGTCAGAGTTCAGTGCTCATGGTTATCCGTGATCAAAATTCATGAAAACTAATTTCACTCGACATGTCTTCATGAATCCGTGATCAAAATTCGTGTTTTCACCAAAGAAACCAATCCTCGTGTTTCTCCTGGTCTTGTTTTGGTGCTTTGGGGTCTTCCCGAAACAACATCCGGGGGGATCGGGGGATCCGAGGATCCAAGGATCCGAGCTCGTGGTCCAACTCTTCAGCTTGTTTGTGACCCGTTTTGGGTTCGGGGAGCTTAGCGGGGTTTGATTAGGGGAAGTTGATTAGAACCTGAGGATTTCGTTGATTTCTGTTTTTTTTGTTTGTTTCTGGTTGGGCTGTATCCACTTCTGGTTCTTTCTGCCTCCTTTTTGGGGCCTTCGTGTCCCCCCTGGTTCATCTGCCAAGTGTATCCGGGGTGAGGCTATGCTTGGCGAGAAGGTTCCCACGCGGCCATATGAGTTCACATCCAGGCCACAGGCCCCAACACAGACCGGAAATGAGCTCGGTTTCCCCTCGGCTTGGCTTAACCAAGAGGAAAGGAGAAACACACACGCCCTACCCCCCACTTTCCCCCCCCCCCCTCCGCAAACCACTGCTTTTTTGGAAGCGTTTCCGGAGTCTGGCGTTTTCCAGCGCCGTCTTTTTTTCGCGCGGAGATCTCTCCTGGAGAAGCCTGGCGCAGGTCTCGGATGCGGTGCTCTACAGCAAGTTCGTGCAGAAGCAGCGGAATCCCAAGCCCAAGCTCGTGGAAGACAGCTTCAGGCCGTGCCCTCCGGGTCTGAAGTCTGGTTCAGAAAGGTAGGCCAGTTCAGCCCCAGAATTCGCTCCCGCTTTTGGGTCCTTTTTTTGTTTCTTGCTTTTTGGAGGGCCCCATGTTTTGTGTTTTTTTTCCACCAAGCAGGCAAGACATCGAGTTTCTTTTTGCCGGGGTCCGAATTCTAGCCAAGATTTCAGCCGGGTCCAGTTCAGAAAGGGTGGGCTTGCTTCACCTTCACGTTGCCATACTCCCTTCGGTTGTTTGTTTCTGTTTGTTTCTAGACCCAGAGGCTCCTCGGGCTTTAAATGGAAGACCCAGACCCCTCCATGGACACCCCGCAGGTGTTTGGGGTCTCAACGCCTGGCTGTTTAAGGCCACAAATCAATCGGCCGCAGAACGCAAACGGGTTATTGCTACCAAGGGTTGGAAAGTTACCCTCCCTCCAATCGTGCAAGCTTACCGCAGGGTGTTGGAAGACTACTTTCCTTTTGGGGAAGCCCGCGATTACCCACTTCCATGATTGTTGGACAGAGGGTATATCTTCAGTGTTCTTTGCATGTTTATATTTCGCATGATTTGTTTGTTGTTGTTTGAACCTTTTTTGCGTGGGGGGGGCCGCACAAAAAGCAGTTGTTTGCTACCATACCAAGATTTGGGAAGATTGAGTTCTAGGCGAACTGACGTTCCATATGGGGGGTTCTTACAGTTTGGATCGCCTTTGCTTCCCTTGAAGTACCGATGAAAAAGGTCCACCATTTGGAGAAACCACATGCCACGACACCCGGCGGGGTGCTTCATTTTGTTCAACTCTTGGTTGAGGGGTTTCCCTTTTAAAGCAACTACGAGGAAAAAGAGTGCCTGTTTTTCTTTATGGCCATGCACTGGGTGTGGGTATGTCTCAAAGGGAGTTGCACCAAAGATGGTGGCTTTCTTTTTGGCTTCCTCCTTTCAGCACAAACATTTACTTGGCCCGAAGTAAGTTTCAGGGGGGGGGTGCGCACAAAGGACTCCACTTTTGCCACTGGAACTGCGGAACCCCAAACAATAGGGCAATCTTGCCCTTGAAAACACCTAACAAAGGGCATCCTTGAGAAAAACACACCTCACTTGCTAAGGTCCTGGTCTTTAGTCAGGGAAGAGAGTTTGGGGCTGCTCTGAGCCTCATCAAACCAGATCCGAAAATTGAATGGTTTCCTCTGTCGTTTCTAAAGCTCCTTGCGATGGTTGGCCTAGGGTAAACATGAAGTAGAATATAAACCATTTGTTGGACCCTGTTTCTCAGGACATTTCTCCATCAGTGCGAGTTTCCGGCACAAGGGCTCCGGAGTCTTTGATTGTTCAACTCACAGCCAGCTGGTATCAGGTTTACATGCGGTGATTAAAGCGATCCATTTGATGGGTACAACGAGCTCACCATGTAGATCCTTCGCTTGGGGATCCAAATTGTGTTTCTGGATTGAGTTTGATCGTGAAATGTGCCACTATTTGACGTCATCCTAATCTATATCACCAACCCACCATGAGGAAATTGGGGAGGGGGGTTTACTCGCCCAAAAAAGCAAATCCATCGGGGGGGGGGAACAAAGTTTAGAAGGTAGAAGCCACACTTCACTGGGCTAACGTGGACTATCTCACATTTCCGCTCTTCACTAAAATGAGCAAAGAAAAGACTGAGCTCCTGCACCCTGGGATTCCACCATGAACACGATGGGGGCTCATATCACCACCATGGAATCCACATTGTCATCCAATTTGGGTCCTTGGGAGGTTTCGTTTTTTTTCACGTTGACCAGGACCTGCACGTGGCGCCAGACCATGAAGGATCTCGAGACGATGATTGGCCGGTGGTTCTTTCTCCAAAAAGGGGGCCGGGTGTGTTGAAGGGGCTAAATATACTCAGTCCGCCGACATTGTTCTCTCCCTGTTCTCCTTCTTCCTCTCTTCCTTGTCTCCCTTGTGTGTTCTGTCGTCCTCTCTCCCTCCCTCTGCTCCCATCCTCCCCATCCCCCCAAGCCTCTCTCTCCCCAATCTCCCTCTCTCGTATGTATGCATGCATGTACATAAGTTTGTATGCATGTATGCATGTATGCATGTATGCATGTATGCATGTATGCATGTATGCATGTATGCATGTATGCATGTATGCATGTATGCATGTATGTATGTATGTATGTATGTATGTATGTATGTATGTATGTATGTATGTATGTATGTATGTATGTATGTATGTATGTATGTATGTATGTATGTATGTATATGTATGTATGTATGTATGTATGTATGTATGTATGTATGTATGTATGTATGTATGTATGTATGTATGTATGTATGTATGTATGTAATGTATGTATGTATGTATGTATGTATGTATGTATGTATGTATGTATGTATGTATGTATGTATGTATGTATGTATGTATGTATGTATGTATGTATGTATGTATGTATGTATGTATGTATGTATGTATGTATGTATGTATGTATGTATGTATGTATGTATGTATGTATGTATGTATGTATGTATGTATGTAATGTAATGTATGTAATGTAATGTAATGTAATGTATGTATGTATGTATGTATGTATGTATGTATGTATGTATGTATGTATGTATGTATGTATGTATGTATGTATGTATGTATGTGTATGTATGTATGTATGTATGTATGTATGTATGTATGTATGTATGTATGTATGTATGTATGTATGTATGTATGTATGTATGTATGTATGTATGTATGTATGTATGTATGTATGTATGTATGTATGTATGTATGTATGTATGTATGTATGTATGTATGTATGTATGTATGTATGTATGTATGTATGTATGTATGTATGTATGTATGTATGTATGTATGTATGTATGTATGTATGTATGTATGTATGTATGTATGTATGTATGTATGTATGTATGTATGTATGTATGTATGTATGTATGTATGTATGTATGTATGTATGTATGTATGTATGTATGTATGTATGTATGTATGTATGTATGTATGTATGTATGTATGTATGTATGTATGTATGTATGTATGTATGTATGTATGTATGTATGTATGTATGTATGTATGTATGTATGTATGTATGTATGTATGTATGTATGTATGTATGTATGTATGTATGTATGTATGTATGTATGTATGTATGTATGTATGTATGTATGTATGTATGTATGTATGTATGTATGTATGTATGTATGTATGTATGTATGTATGTATGTATGTATGTATGTATGTATGTATGTATGTATGTATGTATGTATGTATGTATGTATGTATGTATGTATGTATGTATGTATGTATGTATGTATGTATGTATGTATGTATGTATGTATGTATGTATGTATGTATGTAATGTATGTATGTATGTATGTATGTATGTATGTATGTATGTATGTATGTATGTATGTATGTATGTATGTATGTATGTATGTATGTATGTATGTATGTATGTATGTATGTATGTATGTATGTATGTATGTATGTATGTATGTATGTATGTATGTATGTAATGTATGTATGTATGTATGTATGTATGTATGTATGTATGTATGTATGTATGTATGTATGTATGTATGTATGTATGTATGTATGTATGTATGTATGTATGTATGTATGTATGTATGTATGTATGTATGTATGTATGTATGTATGTATGTATGTATGTATGTATGTATGTATGTATGTGTATGTATGTATGTATGTATGTATGTATGTATGTATGTATGTATGTATGTATGTATGTATGTATGTATGTATGTATGTATGTATGTATGTATGTATGTATGTATGTATGTATGTATGTATGTATGTATGTATGTATGTATGTATGTATGTATGTATGTATGTATGTATGTATGTATGTATGTATGTATGTATGTATGTATGTATGTATGTATGTATGTATGTATGTATGTATGTATGTATGTATGTATGTATGTATGTATGTATGTATGTATGTATGTATGTATGTATGTATGTATGTATGTATGTATGTATGTATGTATGTATGTATGTATGTATGTATGTATGTATGTATGTATGTATGTATGTATGTATGTATGTATGTATGTATGTATGTATGTATGTATGTATGTATGTATGTATGTATGTATGTATGTATGTATGTATGTATGTATGTATGTATGTATGTATGTATGTATGTATGTATGTATGTATGTATGTATGTATGTGTATGTATGTGTATGTATGTATGTACGTGGGGGCCCCCCCCCCCAAAAAAAAAAACTACGTAATAGACGTCGGGCGGGGGGGGGGTTAGGGGGGGGGGGGGTTATCCTCTATCCTCTAGTAAGTATCCGACACGCCGAGCAATGTCGGCGGATATATATATATATATACATATATATATATATCATATATTTATATACATATATATATATATACACAGTTTCACATATCTTTCCTTTTTCATGAGACTTTAAGAAAAGTGTCCAAGCCCATTCTAGTTAGTTGCTGCGACTCGTTCTGGACCCTTTTCAACTTCGCTGAATTTCCCGGAATAGTTAAAAGGATTCTTTCGTTTTCAGGTTCGCTCACAATTGAGGGCTTTATCCAATTTTTCCTCAAGGTAAGCTGCCTCATGTTCGAGAAGAGCCTCTGATTTTAAGGGTAAGCCGCTTTTGCCGGTTCCTTGGTTTTGGGGGATGTTCAGGTTCCTGGTGGTTTTACACGTAAACAATAGAAAGACACAACTCGAACCCTGTATTGTTGGGGAGTTTTGTGTTTGTGTTTGTGGTTTTAAAGGTAACCCGTTTTGTTGGGTCAACAAGAAAAACCAGAACACTAAGAAGCACAAATCAACAGTGCTTTTGTAACAACAAAAAAAGCAAAAACAAAAAACAAAACTCCCAAAAGGTCCCGTTCTTGTTTTCTTTTTCGGGGAAGGGGGATCTGTCCGTTAGTGTTTTCTCTCGTGCACGCCAGGCTGTGCCAGGGTTAGGCGAATGCCAGGGCTGTGCCAAAAAAAACAAACAAAAACTCAGCGGGGGGGGGGGGGGGGCCGGAGGGGGGGCGGTTCATTGTTTGTTTCGGACGTTGGGTTCACCATGAGAAACCTTCTCGCAGGACATCGCCTCTTGCCAGTGCGGCTCCAGCCGGCGCCAGGCCCTTTGACATGGTCTATGAGGGAAGCCAAAAGGAAAGAACCACCGGATGCTTATTTATTTTATTTATGTATTTATTGGTTTACTTTTTTGGGCATTTATTGATTTACTTGTTTAGTTATTTTGTTTTGTGTATGTATTAAACAAAAAACAAGTGTGTTTTTTGTTCGGGGGGGTTCTCCACCATGTTGTTGTTTGTGTTTTTTGAGGGGGGGCGGGTCTAAAAATAAGGACACGCCGATTTTGAGCTGTTCAATCTCAAAATGCTTCATGTTGGAAGTTCAACCTGATTTTCCATTGGAAGACCAGGGCCCAGGGCCAAATCCTTTCGGAATTTCCGGATCTTTCGGCTTGCCTCCCAGATTTGGGCGGGACCCATGTGGAAAAACCCATTCCCGCAGACTGTCGAGAGACCCCTAGGCGAACTGATGGTTTCAGCTGTGCAAAAATCAAGAACTTGGACCCTGTCACTGGATCGGATGGAGCCTCGAAGCACCCGGGAAACCGGAAAAAGTCACATCGACTTTTGGAGGGTCCAGGTTGAAATGCTCCAAGGTCTGGTCGAAACCCAAAGAGTTGTAAAAACAACCTCCTGTTGGTAGGTGTCCTTTTCAGGTCAGTTTGGCTAAAAGTAGATGGGTTCCACTGGTTTAGGCGGGTTTTATCCCATTTACCAGGGCCATCTGTTCTTCCATAAGGCCACCTATGCTCATGTTCGTTCTCTTTCAAGGAATTGGACCAGGGGTTGATGGTTTGACATGGCTGGTGACCTGTTTGACTAGCAACGCGAAAAAGAAAAGTCTGCAGTGCCGAGCTCCGGGAGCTAGAAGGTCACTTGGTACCCTAAGCCAAAGGCCAAGACTCAGACCAGGTAATTCTCTACATTTGGAACTAGAATGTGTCATTTTTTAATTGCTTCTAGTAAAGAACGGCCACTTCCAGGACCGGCTGCAAAATGTTGCTTTTGAAGCTCCAAATGGCCAATTCTCTACATTGAATACCCGGGTCTAAAAGAAGAAACCTTTTTCTTTGCTACCAGGGCCTAGGAAACACCCAGGGTTTAGGTGGGATAGGCAGATGATGTATCATGTTGTCGAAAGGAAGCCAAGGGGACGAAACTTGCTTGCTATTCCAGACCCCGTGTGCAGTGTCTAGGTACTGCACTGGCTGCTGGTTGTTGGTCGATCCAGGTTGACTTAACCCGCCAAGTAGACTTTGGGTTTGGTGGAAGCCCGAAATTGGTTGGTGTCCTGGGTTGGTCTCCTGTTGTCTTCCCTTCAAAACCAACCAAATGTTCAACACACACCCCCACACAGGCAGCCCCACCCAAAATGAAATCACCCCCTTTGGGGAAGGTAGACTCAAGTTCACCTGTCAGGCGGTGGGGAACGACGTGAGGCAGCCCCTGCACTTCCTGCCCAGCTTGCCCGGCTGAGGCCGTGAGCGAATCGGATGGAAAAGGTCTAGAGGGGTCCCTCCAGGTAGCTGATCTTCCAAGCACCTCCCCACCGGTGCCATGGCCTACTGTATGTGGGAGGAAGGTCCCTCCAGGTAGCTTCCAGGCGCCTCCCGCCAAAGGGTAGCTGGGAAAACTGCCCTAATCCCAAAAGTCATGGCGAAGATTGGCCCTTTGTTCCCAATTGGCTTGTTGGTGCACCGTTTAAATATAGGACTAATTTGAGATTTGCTCGAAGTGGGGCTTGGTGGGGTGTCTCTGGTTCCCCCGTTTTTTGGAGATGCTTCAGCCCCTGTTGGTAGTGGGGCGTCTCTTTGTTTCCATTGTGTTCGGAGGAAGCCCCTTTAAAACCAACAAAAAAAGCGCCGAATCGTTTTTCCCCCCAGCTGGGGTTACTTCCCTACAGATTCACTCTCAGGCAACCCGGAAATATGGGTTCCAGCAAACGGGTCCCACTTGGTGCGGCGAAGGACAACTCACGTAGCATGCTGTGATAGATCCCATTGAAAAGCACCCAAGATTGGAACGCAAGCCGAAGGAACCTCTCTAAATGGATGAGTGTTTGGTGGTTTCCATGCAAAGATGCAAGGAGTGTTTCAAATGGGAAGACGCTGCCAAACTGGGTGATGGCCAGATAAATGCTGGGTGTTGTGGTTGGGGCCTTGCTACTTGGTTGTTCGGCAATCAGATAGCATTTGTTGTTTGCGACAAGACAGACAAGGTGAGTGTCTATGTTCACTATCAACCAGCTGTTGGCCCATTTGTCACGTTCCCAGGATGCGTGCAGGGCGTTGATGAGACTGACCCATAGTCTCGCAAACCTTTCCTGTAGAGTCAGGATGCATTTTGCATGGTTAAACGTGAGGCAAGCACAACATGTCTTTGCCGGCATATTCACAGCTCTAAGGCGAAAGGCGAGACGTATCCAGGTTGCGGCAGCGTTTGGGGGAAGACCATTGGCGGGTCCCTCCATCTCCCTTCTTGGGGCCCCAAAGTTTTTCTAGAAAGTGGCGGTCTTGGGATCCACTTCAGGTTTTGAAGGGGACATCTCGCGGTTTCTGTTTGAAATCAGGTAAAACAAGGTGCTCCAGTTTCCCTAATTGGGAGTCTAAAGTCCAATTGGGAGGGGCATGGGGACCTGGGGACATTGGCGGGTCTGGCCTGGGAAGTTGAGCCGGTGAGTCGAGACGAAACCGGGCACGGCGGACCCCACCCAAAGGTTTTTGGTCAACTTGAGACTGCTTTTTGTGAAGCTGTCCGGGCAACATGTGCTACCTGGGAACCTTGGTCCTCTTTCTTGAATCTTGTCTCGGATGTTGTTGTCTCTCTAGGGGTAACTTCCCCATTCTTTCCAGGGATCCTTCCTTCTAGAAAACCACCAAAAGCCCCGGGCAAATGGCTGGTTTTTGAAAAGACCGATTGCTGAAAAGAATCGGGAATCAACCCCTTGAGTCTCGGGCTGCTTTACCTGGTTCGACCCAGCCTTTGTGGACGCGTCGGATGTTTTTCTGGACGCCTTGACAAGGGGAACCAGAAGTCCCCGCTTTTGCCTGGCTTTTGTTCAAAGGGGGCTGATCATGACTCATGACTGCTGGAATTTACTAGCTTACAAGGAGGTCCTCCAGAACACAGTGTTGGGTGTGTGTGTGTGTGTGTGTGTGTGTGTGTGTGTGTGTGTGGTGATCATGACTCATGACTGCTGGAATTTACTAGCTTGGAGGTGCGCGTGCGTCGCGCAGAAGCACAGTGCGCGGCGTGCGCGTGTGTGCGTGTGCTGTGTGTGCGTGTGTGCGTGTGTGTGTGTGTGTGTGTGTGTGTGGGTGCTGTGCGCGTGTGTGTGTGCGTGCGTGCGTGTGTGTGTGCGTGTGCGTGTGTGCGTGTGCGTGTGCGTGTGTGCGTGGCGTGCGTGCGTGCGTATGCATGTGCAGTGTGTGTGGGTGTGTGTGTGTGTGTGTGTGTGTGTGTGTGTGTGTGTGTGTGTGTGTGTGTGTGTGTGTGTGTGTGTGTGTGTGTGTGTGTGTGTGTGTGTGTGTGTGTGTGTGTGTGTGTGTGTGTGTGTGTCTGTGTGTGTGTCTGTGTGTGTGTCTGTGTGTGTGTGTGTGTGTGTGTGTCTGTGTGTGTGTCTGTGTGTGTGTGTGTCTGTGTGTGTGTGTGTCTGTGTGTGTGTCTGTGTGTGTGTGTGTGTGTGTCTGTGTCTGTGTCTGTGTCTGTGTCTGTGTCTGTGTCTGTGTCTGTGTCTGTGTCTGTGTCTGTGTCTGTGTGTGTGTGTCTGTGTGTGTGTCTGTGTGTGTGTCTGTGTGTGTCTGTGTCTGTGTCTGTGTGTGTGTGTCTGTGTGTGTGTCTGTGTGTGTGTCTGTGTGTGTCTGTGTGTGTGTCTGTGTGTGTGTCTGTGTGTGTGTGTGTGTGTGTCTGTGTGTGTGTCTGTGTGTGTGTCTGTGTGTGTGTCTGTGTGTGTGTCTGTGTGTGTGTCTGTGTGTGTGTCTGTGTGTGTGTCTGTGTGTGTGTCTGTGTGTGTGTCTGTGTGTGTGTCTGTGTGTGTGTCTGTGTGTGTGTGTGTGTGTCTGTGTGTGTGTGTGTCTGTGTGTGTGTCTGTGTGTGTGTCTGTGTGTGTGTCTGTGTGTGTGTCTGTGTGTGTCTGTGTGTGTGTGTCTGTGTGTGTCTGTGTGTGTCTGTGTGTGTCTGTGTGTGTGTGTCCCTTGAAGCCAACCTGACAAGGGAGCCCTCCACCTAGACTCTCCATGACCCTTAAAAACTGGGGTCCTTGCCCAAAATTAAGGGGTCATGACCCCTTTTTCTAGGAGACCCTAGGCAGAAACACAGACCCATGTCTCATCTTCAGGCTTTTTCTTCGGCTTATGGGCGATGGACAGATCCGCTTCGCACAAACAACGGCATGGAGAACGCCCTAGGACTACATGGCTGTGGGTGTCAAAACCGTTTTGGGATCCCATTTTGGGGGTAGGTGAATTCACCACCCATTTTAGAACCTATTTTAGTGGTTGGATTGGGATGTTCACTGCGGGTGTGACCCATGGCCACTTGACTGATACTTGCTTGGAAGTTCATGTGTTCATCTTCAACTTTTGGCAACATGTGAGCATCCCCACTAATCCACACAAAGCCGCACCGGGCAACAGGCAGGGATAAACCACCAATCCCAGAGAGCTGCGCAAAAACCGAAACAGGTTTCAACATTTCACTCCTGTCGGAGGTCTCTAGATGTACGCAGGTTGAGACTTTTCCCTTTCAAAATCCCCAGTTGCCCAAAGCCGACTTTTTGAGCTTTTGCTTTCCACTTGTTCATCTTGAGTCAGGACCCCAAAAAGGCTGACCGATCTCTTTTCCAGTTCCTTTGGCCAAGTGAGAATCCACCTGCCCAAAGAAAGAGAGCCAACGCGATTCTCCCCGCGGCATTTTACTTGGGTTCTGGGGTTTGGTCCTAAACATCATTTGGGGCCAACTGAAATTGATCCTTCCTTTGAGGTGATGTTTGGGGGGGGCATCTAGCAAACCCTGTGACTCTTGTGGCAGAAAGTTCAGACCTGACCAATCCTCAGGGGAGAAATGTCCCTCTTTGCTCGGTGGGTTCAAAATCAACCAACCTGGCGGATTTCCTTTTGCCTTGAGACAAACCTTATCCTAGGTCCCCCAGTAGTGCCCTTTAGCCTTTTTTTTGGGGGAGGGTTCCCCTACTAAAATAGACGCCCTGAAAAAGGTGGGAACCCTTATTCCAACCTCTCTACTGGAGGACTTAGTAGCCTCTTGTTCATTTCGACGGACCATCTTCCCCGGCGACCAGCTCCTGCAGGCCTCGAGTACTCGTGAGCTCCGCTTGCACCGGCCGTTTGAATGGCATCCCGTTGACTCGGGAGTGCATGCGAGGCCGAAGACGAGAGACTGACAATGTCGGCAATATGCCGGGTGAATTACAGCCCTGAAAATGCAGTGTGGGATCTTTGGGAAGTGATTGATGCCTGTATCCTTTCAATGCAAGTCCGGAGAATGCAAATCGCGGGCACATGCTGAATGCAGCCTTGCATATCAAGCAGCGTCCCGCAAGGGGAGTCCGCAACTTTTCTTGAGGGTTCCAGGATTAGTTTAAAGGGACATCAAAAGGACGATTTTAATTCTGGGGGGTCTGAACCCCTATTTGAACGCATACCCGTTTAGGCAAATTGTGTGTTTCACCGAGGAGGTTTTCGCCAAAAAAGGCACGGTAAAGCGAATAGGGAGTAAACCAGAAAAAATGAAGGATCAAAAACCCCAACCAAGACTAATATCTAGAGGTCTGTTGGGAAAATCGAAAGCCCAAACCTGTCACACACTTGTACGATGGTACAACCATAAAGGGTTCAGACATGCCATCAACGAAGAAAAGCCATGCGCCAAGCAAATCCCCAGGAATTCATTGTTTCATGAATGGAGGTTGTTTCGAAGGGATGGAGGTTTCTTCTTGCAGTATTCAACGTATGTGCCTATACAAAATCCTTGTAGCTGGAAAACTGCTTTGTGATATTTGTTTGTTTCACAAAAACAACATCCCAGGTTGTCCGAGTCAAAAAACAACACATCCCAAGTTCCCACGCGGTCTCTTGGCCGCAATCTCTAATCTCTTTGCGCACGGCTCAGGATCCCAAGGCGAGGAATCGATCTGAGTCTTAAGGATAAGGAATGTTTGGGCTGGTTTTACGAAAGGAAACCAAGAAAAAACCACGAATTTTGGGAAACCAAACGGACATCACTATTGCTTGGGGGAAACCAAACAGAAACCACGAATTGTTCGGGGAAACCAAACGGAAACCGCGAATTGTTTGGGGTTTGCTAAGTTGAAGACAAAGTCATCTGCACATAGCAAGCTCTGGATGGTCCTGGGGATGGATTTTGGCTTTATAGCAATTTGCCCGCGGCAACGACCTTTTGACCGTTGTTTTTTTTCCTTTTCTCCTTTCTACTTTTTGGGAAGGCCATTTTCGTGGCCTATGAAAGTTTGGCCGTTTTGGGACCAACTCAGGCAGCGAGTTTTGGTCTGCTGATAGTGTCAGCTTTTCACTTCCAGGTCCTTTGGGCAGTGAATGGCAATTTGCCAAGAACTGTGGTCCTCTTGGGAGTCTAGGGACGAGGGGGGGGGAGCCTCACAATATCAACCACAGTGGACTCCATCCAATCTGGAGTCTCCCCCAACACTTTTTAATATTGTGTACATCGAATGTGGAGCCGACTCAAGAAAAATAATAGTATTGGTTTTGTGCCCTAGATTGGTAAGGTGCCCCTTATGTCCCCGTGTGGGTAAGGTTTTGCGGTAAGGCAAATCCAAGCAACACCTGGCTACGCATTTTGAGAGTTGCAACCCTTTGGGGGAGTGATTTGTAAGGAAAGCCAAAAGGACAATCATAACATATACCGATACCCATATGGCTACACATGTTCAGAGTTGGAACCATCAAAAGTGGTTGGTGGACAAGATTTTCCGCCAAATTACATTTCCCACTTAGCTAGGGTTCCAGTGAAAAATGTCCCCTTGCTTGTTAGACACGATCATTTGTCAACTTCATGGATGCTCCTGCACACCAACCCCAGCCGTTTCCTGCACCAAGAACAGCTCACAACTCACTCCATCAGTTCCTGGACCTTGTCTATTTTTTGAGTTGTTCTTTTTTTGTCTTCCTTTTTTCTTTTTCGCAAGCATGAAACCAATAACTTTTTTTTCCGCAAGCATGGACTCCAATCCACAAGTTGGAAGTGAGACAACATAGCTCAGTTGAGATCCTCGGGCGCTAGAGGCTTTCCGGCGGGTCAAAGTCTTACTTGCGGAGCCCGCGATCCATTGGATCCGATTCACGGTATGTCCGGTCCCCCCGTCAGATGTCCCCAAGGCGCGAGTAAAAAGGCCGATGGCGATGGCGACCGGGCGAGGTTGCGGAACATCAAATGAGTCACAAACAAAAACCAGTTCGGGTAATTAGAAGGTTTGTAAGGGGTCCCAGCCGAAAATACTGGCGGATGATTGTGACTCAAATCCAGTTTTGGGGTTAGTTTTTCTGATAAGAGAATCCAATGCAAGTTGGCAAGCGGATGGGAACCAACCACCTGGGCATGAGGGGTCTCGGTAAATCTTCTGGGAGCGACGTCATGGCAAATCCTCAAGTGGACCCTTTCGGGTTAGTCTCAACCCGATGAGGTTCCCGTCTTTTGAGCCAAGCCGGTTTCTTCGTGTTGTTTATGGCGGGGTCAGATTTGTTTGACGGTTTCTGGGGGTTCTCAAAGTCAGAAAATGGAAATTGGAATCGGTTGTTTCCCTCTATATAACCCAGCACTTTGGGGGTGACTTTGATGGTAAAATAATAATCGGCCAGTTTATGGTGATCCTTTCCTTGTCTCTGTTGGTTTGAAATCTGGTTTCAAACGCGGGCTGCTTTTGGTAGTGACGCGTTTTTGGCGCAGTTTAGGTGTTTCTTTCCCAAAACAGACCGGCAAGGACCTTTTGTTTTTTTAATGGTCCATTTTTCGTCAAGGTTTATTTCAAGGCCAATGAGTGGTGGGGACGTTTCACAGTCCCCGAAATCCATAAATGAGTTGGCTGGTTGGAATTCCCCGAAAAGGGCCCCTTGGATTATTGGACTCCGGTCAATTGGAATTCGGGACTTTTCAAAAAGGTTCCCAACATGTGACAGGCCGAATCATTGGAGGCGCGGCTCGCTCGTCTGAGGCAACCCCTGCGGATGGATCTGAGCTGGAAGCTGAGTCCCAGGCGGGATGGGGGATGTCCATCAGGTTGGAATCCCACAGCACCCAACGCAACGGCTCATGTCCCAAAATCCCAACTGAGCCACCGGCTCAGAACCCAGGTAGGTGAAGGGTGAGTAAGGGACAATCCCAGCCATAAAAATAGCTGCGGATATCCGCCTTCTTAATTCCTTACATGGTTCTGGGCTTGCGACCATTTTAATACCGGGTTTTGATTGTGACTCACTAGTCCAAAAACCGGTGCTTGGGAGGCTGCTTGGGGATTCCCTATTTCCGGTTTGTGAATGGAAAAAAACGTACTGTTGTGGCACCAGCTTCAAAAATACGCCGGACACGGAGGCTTTGCCAAGGAAAGAAAGAACGGTTTTTCTCCTGCCTGAGTTCATGGACTTCAACTTTTGGGGAAGAACCATTTAGTGGCAAACAAACTCAGGAAGTGACTTCGGGGAAGAACCATTTAGTCGCAAACAAACAGTTTGGAAGCTTCTTGGCCATCCACTCAGGAAGTGAGTAGTACTTTGACCAATGATGGGCACCACTTGTCAATTTTTGTCCGTAGGGATCACACCAGGGGTCATCATAGGCGGGCAAATGTGAACAAGCTCACTTAGGGGGGTAAATCGAACCCACCTTCCTTACTTGGATTGTTTCTTTCCGGTTTGTGAATAGTACTTCGCCCAGCAGATGGCCCACCAAAGCGGCCAAGTTCCTATGTTGTTCGTTTGGGAATCGACTGGATCGAAGACTGAGCTGTGGCTGGCCGACCCTCAAGGGGTGGGTTCTGACTTTTTTATGGCAGCTCACCTGCAGATAAAGCTCAGCATGACTTACCTCCCAGGTGAGCTCGCTTTATTTTGCGGATCCAGCTCTAGTTTCAGGTTGCGGAGTCTTGGAATCCCGAAGGCCATTCCACCCAGGCCTACAATCATGTCGGGTGGTCTGTGGGTCTTGGCCTATGAGTTTTGTTCTAGTTCCAAGCCGATTTTTTCATCCGTGGCTTAATCCTCCCAGTCTGGGAGGCTTGGCTGCTTCAAGTCGATGCCTACGAAGGCGGCCGTTTCGCCTGGGACGTCTCTCGAGGGTGGTGCGAGACATTGTACAACCTCTATATATATATATATACTTGGTGGCTCCCGGCAATTTCCTTTGCTTTTTGGCCTTTTAGTGTCCAGTGGTAGTTTCCATTTTAACCCACTAAAAGTTAAACTTTTGGCGGGAGATCTGAAGGCAGCCCAGTATACATATATATATATATATATTTATTTATAATACAACTATATACATATATACATACTCACAGCTGTATGATGTATGAGATTGTAAACGCTTCGCGTTGCCCGCCTCGGCCCAGCCTAGTTTGAGGGAAGGGTCAGGAACACCGAAATCCAGTGTTGGGAAGGTCCGAATCCTACTGAAAGCTTGTGACCGCACCAGTTCGCCCGTGCTAGTTCGATGTTCGGAAGCCGTCCTGCTCGGAAGGTTTGAAATCCAAAACCAAGACTGTCAGCCTGGGCTGAGCTGCTTGGGCAGCCGGACTGGGGGGCTGGGGCACGTCAGACAGGCTTAGTAGCTGGCGTAGCTTGAGACCAGTCTCAGACACGTGAGGCCAGTCTCAGACACGTTAGACAAACCTGACCTTGGCACGCTGGGCTGAGCCTGCTGGTGCGAGCTGGCACCCGGCCTAGTGGCTGGCATGCTCTGAGATGCGCCGGGGCCTGGGCTGGGCAGGCTGGGCTGAGGTGGGTTGCTGGTTGGGCTCGCCTGGAACTGGGTTGCTGGATGGGCAAGGCCTGTTTCATACACACTTGGGCCTGAGGCTGGGTGGCGAGTTGCTGGCTGGGCACACGTAAGACACGCCAGCAGGCGGGCTGAGGGACTGGGCCTGAGGCTAGTCTCAGGCTGGCATACTTTGAGACCAGTCTCAGACTGCGCGGATGACTTGGGGCCAGACGCGAGCGGGCACGTCAGACAGGCTTAGTAGCTCAGACGTGAGTCTGGTCGTTGGCCTGAAGCCAGTCTCAGACACATTACCTGGGGGCCGGCCTAGTGGCTGGCATGCTCTGAGATGCGCCGGGGTCTGGGCTGGGCAGGCTGGGCTGAGGTGGGTTGCTGGTTGGGCTGAGGCTCAGCCACAAGGCTGCGAAGCTATGGGTGGGTTGCTGGCTGCCGGGCAGCCGGACTACGCTGCTGGTTGCGCCTGGAACTGGGCTGGGCTGTGCTTGGGGGGCCTGTTTCATACACACTTGGGCCTGAGGCTGGGTGGCGAGTTGCTGGCTGGGCTGGGCCTGAGGCAGGGACTGGGCCTGAGGCTAGTCTCAGGCTGGCATACTTTGAGACCAGTCTTAGACTGCGCCGAAGGGGCCTGGGCCAGACGTGAGCAGGAGGTCGACCTGGCCAGCTGCTTGGGCAGCCGGACTGAGGGGCTGGGGCACGTCAGACGCTTAGTAGCTGGCATAGCTTGAGACCAGTCTCAGACACGTGAGCCTGGTCGTTGGCCTCTGGCGGGCTGGGAGCCGGCCTAGTGGCTGGCATGCCCTGAGATGCGCCGGCTGGGCAGGCTGGGCTGGGCTTGCTGGATGGCTTGGGGCCGTGAGCCTAGTCTCAGACACGTCAGACAGGCCTGGCCAGCAGGAGATCATGCTTTTCAGGAAAAAAAGCATTTTTTAGTGATTTTTGCAATTGTCAGCACATTTTCGACAAAAATAGACCCATGGAGCTGGACGCCGACGAACCCCGAAAATTTCAAGGCCCGCCGGACAGGATTTTTGGTCCAGCCGACATGGGTGAGGGGGGGGGGGGCGGGCCGGCAAAATTTTGGTTGGGGGAGGGGAAAAGCGAAGCTCTTTGGAGAAGAGATCTGAGCGCCCTGGGCCCCTTTGGGGCCGAGGCGAATATCTAGACGGAATGCGGACAATGAGCTTTTGCTTTTCAACGCCTCGTTGAGACGCTCCCGCCAATTTACATGGAACCTGACAGAGGTTCCCTTTAAAAGGAAAATGGTCTTCCAGGACCCTGTCAGGTTCTATGTTACGTGGTAGGGTATACTCGAGAAGTTCGAACCACAGGATCTCTTTTGAATTGTTCATTCTATCATGCAACCGTCAAAACCTTCCAAAGACCACTTTATCAGGGAAGACCACTTTATCAGCGATAGGCCCCCTCCAAAAGCTTGATGTCCTTCACATCAACTGGTTCGGAGCCATAGGAGGGGAGCGAGTGACCAGTATCTGATACTCAGCACAGGCCGTTGATCTCCCCACAGCTTCAGCAGCTTGAACACCTTCATGTCTTCGCGAGCAGCTTGAGGGGCGACTCTACGACCTGCAGAGTACTCCCCTAGGCTGCTGGAGAAAGCGCGGGCGTACAAGAAAAGCTATGTCTTCGAGACAGACGAGGATGGGACGCTGTACATGGCTATGCGCAAGGACCCAGAGTCCCTTAGGAGAAGTTTGTCCTCACGAAGGTGCTGCGGTGCCTTCGGCAAGTACACCTTGGGGATGGCCCACCCGACCGGAGTCTGCAATAGGCCTACCTTGACTCCCCTTTCCATGGCGCTGACTCATTAGACTCCAGGTTTACCAAACAAGTGCGCCAGGAACAAAACAAGCATGTTGGTTTGGGGCAAAAGCTGAAATAGACGCGGGCATTGTTCTTGTCAGGCTTGGCTTTGGAAAAGGCACGTTTTTTCTTTGTTGCATTTTGCTTGGATGTTGGGACTTTAACTTTTTGCCAACTAATCACATCCTAGGTCCTCCAGTAGAAAGGTTAGAATAAGGGTACCCTTTTTCTGTAGTCTATTTTAGTAGGGGAATCCTCCCCCAAAAAAGGGTAAAAGGGCACTCCTGGGGGGCCTAGCATCTGAGCGGCAACTGACGTACTTCTTCGTCTAGTTGTGTGCTTGGTCCCTCTCTGCTCCCCTGCTAAAAGTTTAACCTTTAGTGGTTTAATGGAAAACCCATTAGTTTGTAGAAGCTTGAGATATGACATCTTGTGTTCGGCGTCTTGTGCGTGTACCACCCTAGATGAGTCTCACGTCTTGAACTCGTCTACCCCCACCCACTAGCAATGGAAGACGTTTGAGGGGGTCATTTTGGTTTTCGGGGGAGTCCTCTTTGTTAGCAGGGTCCAATCCATTCCGTGCCTGGCGGTCGAACCTTCCCAAAGACCCGGTTCATTAGTGCCGTTTGTCGCTTGAAAGTTCAACTCTGAAACCCCAAAGAATATGAGCCCCATAGCCATTTTCACTCATTTTCTCGTCCCCCCCCCCCATGTGTGGGGGAAAGACCCATTTGGAGATGTTTCGGCGGGCGTCTTTTGTCATGACAATTTCGCATCGTCAAGTTTCCAGGACCATTCTGAGATCCCCAGATATGCAAACTTGCTGGTGCTTACGGAAAAGGAACTCACCAGCAAAGGATGGTTTATCTCGGGGTCAGTCCATTTCTCATTCCCTGCTTATCGCACCATCCAACTGGTGGTTTCCGCTAAGGGGACCAAAGCCTGGGTTCATTCCCGCATTCCCTACTGAGATTTCTCGCACCAGCAAGAGAACCATGGGCATACTTCTCTTACAAGACTTCCGACTTGCAGGCAATCTGCCCTGCGGGCCCGGGGATCGCCTGGACGAGAAGTTGGTGAGGCGCAGTTTTCCGCGTTCAACCCCAGGAAGGTTTCAAGTGGCTGCCCCTTTTCCAACCGTTTGGGGAGAGCGTTCCTTAAAGTCAACCAAAAAGAGAACGGATCGGTTTTCTGGGTTTTGTTTTTGTTCAGAATGGGGTGGCTCCCATTCCGTTCACCCATGTTTTCAGAACGCCATCTTCTCGGGGGTTGGGCTTAAGGTTTTCTGGGTGTTGCATGATGGAAATGAACCTTGCTGTAAACCATCCCTACTTTCTCACTTGAAATAGGGAATCCCTGTGATATCGTAGAAAGTGGCTCTAGAAAAGCCGGCCCTTCGGTGGACATCATGACTTGTGAGCTAGTTCCAACGCTCAAATTTATTATCCATGTTTCCCCTGTGGAAACATCACCTAGTTCTGTCTCCAAACACTTGTTTTTATAGGGTAGACGAAATATGAGTCAGAAAATGTGTTGTTTCCGTGCACCCACCCATTCTTGTGTGCCCTGGGCCCATTTAAAGTGAGTTGCCTTGATGTTTGAAACGGAAGCATCGGGAGCACTGCCAGCACGGAGGGGCGGTGGCTTAGCATTTGGAGTTGTGTCCCCCTTCTTGCAGGGGTCTCCTCTAGAATAACATGTTGGACGGCTATGACGGCTGTTGGTTGGTACTTAAAGGGAAGCCAAAAGGAACACCCATTTTAGAGTACCCTTTTGATATTGGAGAACCACCCTTTGATGACACCTGAACAACTTTTTTGCTGTGGGGGTGGACAACGCAAGTGTTGGGTCCACGTGGGTGCCCAAGTGGATACACTCTTGGCGTCTTCTCTAGTGGCTCCACGTTTAGGGGGCTCTTACAGCGGAACATGGCGGCAGAACATCATGGCACGGTTTCAGTTTGGCGTTCAATCGGCGAGATGTATGATTCAAGGACGCCTAGGGTTTAAGAGACCCAGCGCTTTCTCTCGAAATCTAGGATGTTACTTTGGATCCTGTTGGAGTTTCTTGGCTTTTGAGGACACCCATTTTCCCCAACAAGGGCATGCGTCAATCCGAGTGGTTCTGCGCGCAATTAGACCCCATGCAATACAAGTAAAACGGGGCCAAGCAGAGAGTTGGGTTGGGAGGGTTGGGTTAGGAGTTGGTGAGGGGCAATATTACTGGCAGGGTTCCTTGAGAATACCCAAAGGTTAGCACAATCCGCCCACTCCCTGAGTTCCTGGACTTTAATCACTTTTTGATTTTGGACCATTTTCGTCGTAAACAACAAGTTTGTCTACGGGCAACATTGGGCTCCTAAACCCAATTTCGCCACTGCGGGTGAGTCTTGTTGGGGCTCTCGGCGCAACATTCATATTTAGGCTGTTCTTGAGGGACATCCGCCCCCGACCGTGATTTGGCATGATATCACTTGATGCCGCGATTGTGATTTGGCATGATGTCAGGAGATGTGTCGCGAACCGCATTTGTCGAATTTGTCGGCCTCGCCTCACACACCCCGATGTTTCTAGGCGCTCAGCCCTACGTTCGCAGCCTGGTTCCCAGGGAAGCGAAAGAGACCGATGGGCCTTGCCAGTCGCCACTCTTGGCGAGTTTTGGAGCATCCAAGGCACAGCCAGCCTATGTTTTGCGGCAGGGCAGGTGAAAGCTCGACCCACGGGGAGCCCATCGCGGCTTCGACTGCGAGGGGGGGCCGCGGCACCTCGGCACTGCGACTTGAGCCACGGGCACTTGTTTTGGCCCATCCACTCGATCGGAAAAAGGACTTCCTACACTTGCCCTTTAAACATCACCCCACCCAAAGGAAACTCACATTAACAACGGCATTCAAAGGTGATTGTTCAGACGGAGTGTGGAACTATCGGGACCCGTGGAAGTGAGAAACAATCGAGTTGGAACCTAAACCCAGTGGTGCTGTTTCTTCTACTTGTTCTTTGGAGAGGGTTTGCCTTTAAAACATTTCACCCACAACAAGAAACCTGCCAACTCTTGAAAACAAATGGCAGTGGGTCAAAACCCTGTACCCTTGGTGAACCTCAAAATAGGTGGCAAATGGGGCAAATGGATGTTTATATACCCCAAAATGGCTCGCCATAGGTTCTGCCCCATGGCCAAATCCCAGGGGCCCGACTCTTCATGGAAAGAACTCCAAGTTTCACCCACAGCAAAACCTGCCAACTCTCGAAAACCAAAATCCACCCAGAAAACCCGAAATCGGTCCGGTCCCGGGCTCGCTTCGCGTTTCGGTTTTGCTTGCGCGCCAGGTTCAGCAACGACCGGCGCTTCCAAGGCTTCACGCTGAAGCAGTCCCTGGCGCTGCGTGTGGCGCGGGGCCCCGGCAGTCTCCGGTCGACTCAGCGGCGCGTGGGTTTTTGTTGGTTTTGGTTTGGGGGGAGAGGGGGGGGTGTCCTTTTCTATCTTGGTTTAGAGGGGAATGTGTGTGTTTTTTTTGGGGACGGGGTGTCCTTTTTCTTTGATCTTGGTTTAGAGGGGCGTGTTTTTTGTTGTTGGGGGGGGGGATGGGGGTTGTGACGCAACCCCCCCCCCCCCCCCCCCCGGTTCATCTTTTTTTTTGGGGAAACCAAAGGGAAAGCCACAAGTATTCTTGGGCTTGACAGGAACCTATGAAGCGGCATCTGAAAATCTGATGGTTTGGTGTATTCTGTGCCGGGGTTCGGAGCATCACAGAAGGCGACCTCTCTTTTGAGCAAATGCAAGAGGCACAGAGGGGTTTCGACACCTGGACACGGAGAGACACACGTGGACAAATTTGACAAACGCTGAGCTTTCCGGACCCCCAAAGTGCCAAGGCAGAGCAGAATATGTGAGAAACAGGCGGTGTCGTCATCCGGGAGAACGGAGAGAAGAAGCACATGGCGAATTCTGGCAGCAGCAGGTTCCTGATCAAAGTAACATCCAGTTCGGAATACAACAGCTCTTCGTGGACGCCCAACAGATACTGAGAGGGCAGGGAGAGAAATCCGATGGTGCCTTGGTTCCCTCATGCCTTTCGCCATCACCTCCCACGCGACCCGTGGGTTTTGTCTACTTTCCGAAGAGGATCCCAGGAAGATAGGGGACGCACCGCTAAAATTGTGGCGGACTCCTTGGAAATTGCAAGAGAACCAACCAAGCCCACAGAAAGGCTGGTGAACAGCTGTGAACTAGCGTTCTCCACCTTTCTTTGATCCCACGAACTGGTGAAAGTTGTTCAGCATGTCGAAAGCCAAGCCGTCTTTCCCCAACAGCACTACGTAAGCTATAGCGCAAGGGAGGGGTCCGGCAGATTGCGTGCGGGACACCACCCTGGGCCTCTTGGGACGAGACGAATGGTTTGGAGGCTGCAACCGCTTCCCCCCCGCCGGCTGAAAGCGAGGCAAGGTGTGGGCGCACCTTTCAGTTTGCTTCACAAATGCTGCGATGTTCATTTCACCAAACACCCCAAAAAGGCCATCCCACAAAACACACCAAAAAGGCCATCCTTGGAAAATCTTGGGCATTTCACGCCCTGAGTCCCTGAACTTCATGGTGTTCGGGTCCGGAGCATGTTTGCTGGGCCCAGAGAATAGGTTTCTTTGGCGCATTTTGCTTAGATAGGACTTTAACTTTTTGCCAGCTAATGGGTTTTCCAGTAAACCACTATAAAGCAACCGAGGTTTGGGGATTTGAACGGGTCCCTGGTTCTGGGTACGTGGCTTCAAAGCACCGAACCCCCAAACAGAGCCGCAAGCTCCCAGGTGCCCGAGCTCGCCATCCCGCGCAAGGCTTTGGGCTTGTGGGGGGGGCGACTTTGGGGGGGATATGTGGCTCTGGACAAAAATTACTGGGACCTGGGGGGGGGGGGGGGGGGGGGCGACCTGTTGGGGCCTGTTTTTAAGCTATTCTTGTGTCTGCCGATTTCTTTATGGCAAGCTCAATGGATCTGGGGGTAAGGCGAGCGAAAGCCATGGTAAAGATTCCTTTCCCTGAAACTTCCTAATTGCAGTGGCCGGGAATTTGGTGTTTTTTTGCTTGGCAGATGGTGTCCCATGACAGGAAGTACTGGCGAGTGGTTCCCCCAACTGGCCCGGGCCCGGGGAGTTTGGATCGAAGCGGGCCGCTCTCGCAAGTGGGGCAGTTGTTGGATGAGAAGCACCAAGGGACCGAGCAGAAAGAAGAAGTTGTTTGGATGGGAATGACCCAGAAGCAAGGAAAAAGACACCAAGATCAAGGCAAAGAAGCAAGAACTTCCCAAGTTTCTTCCTTTGATCCCGGTCTTGGACGCCCCTGTCCCTCACCTGGCCACCTCTTATGAGCATTACCCAAGCGATGTGTTGTTCGTTTTCCTTGAGCATGACACAAAAGCGACCATGGGGCTCCACCTGCGAGCTCCCGGAATCCGCGATCAGGTTCTGTTGGGTTTCGATGCCTGGGGCTATACGTGCATTTTACCAAGGGATGTTAGGACTTTAGCTTTTGGTCAACTCAGGGGTTTTCCGTATTAAACCGCTAAAAGTTAAACCTTTAGCAGGGGAGCAGAAAGCAACCGAGTATACTTTCGCAAGCAAGAAGTGTGGACATGTTTTGGCCTTTCTACTGGGAGCCCTGATGGACGAAACCCGAAACCCGCAGGCACCAAGAATGGATGAACCCCGGGCAAAGCGTCCGCAACAATGGATGAAACCCTATGGGGCAAAGCGTCTGTGAACTAGGGTCCATCGGCGGTTTGCTTTTGCCCAACCCTTGGTCCAAATGTTTGTTTACTCCGTCAAGAAGCCTAGGTTCCTTCAACTAGACAAGGCCTATGGACCAGAACTCTCATTGTGTGCATCGGGAGCTGAGGAAGTGGCGAAACTCAGTTTCGAAGGCGCAAGCATTGACAGGCTTAACCCTTTCCTGGGGGTCCCTTCATTTCCCCATTGCACCAGGGCGGAGTCAGCAATTCTTTGTTTGTATCCTCCACGCTGCGGAAAATTGCGCTTAAGCTGCGGCTAGCTTCTGTGATACCAAGTGAATCCCTTGCAAGGTGATAAATCAGTGGGAGTGATCCAACTCATCTGTTTTGATGGTACTGTGGCCAGGTAGTTGTGTACCATGCCCATAGGGTCGGAGCCAAGCCAAGCAACCGTGAGGGGGGGGGGCGGGACCTGGCGGAAGCAGCAACCTCGGGCGAAATTCTGATGTTCTGGAAATGAGTCATCTCCCATCAACCTGTGTTTGCCCCGGCAGCATTTTGCTGGACCTCAGATGGTTTTTTGTTATTCCTCACCCGACAGGAAGGGGTTGTTAGATTTTATGTTGGAATCCGCGTTTGCGATGCTTCTACACCACGCCCCCACCCAGAATCCCGCCAGAGCTGCTCGCCAGTGGATCCCGCCCAGTATCCCGCCGAGCGGCTCGCCAGTGGATCCCGCCGAGTATCCCGCCAGAGCGGCTCGCCAGTGGATCCCGCGGAGTATCCCGCTGAGTATCCCTTGCCGGTGGATCCTGCCGAGTATCCGGGCAGAGCGGCTCGCCAGTGGATCCCGCCGAGTATCCCGCTGAGTATCCCTTGCTGGTGGATCGTGCCGAGTATCCGGCCAGTATCAGGCCGGAGCGGCTCGCCATTATTCGCCAGTGGATCCCGCCAGTGTCCCCAGAGCAGCTCGCCAGTCTGGTTTTGCTTAATGTCCCGCCCGGCGCACAGTGGGGCTGCCTTCGTGTTTTGAGTGTACCCTGAGGCTCGGAAAGTGATGCTTTTGTGTTGCTTTGGGCTGTGAATAAGCAACTTCGTTTAATCCCCCTTCGGGTTTCTTTTTGGAAGGGGCTTGGCTTTTGTTAACGGAACCGATGTTTGAGTTCTCGAGATCAGCTCGCAGACAAGTGGAGTTTGACACACAGACAGGTGGATAAGGCCCCAAGCCACTCGAACAACTATGCTTGAATTCACGCAACTGCGTTCACGGTCGTAAGCTCGTGAGTGTGGAGGGTGGGGATTGCTCGAAGCGAAGTATTTTCAACCCTTGACCAGGTCCCCCAGGAGTGCCCTTTTACCCTTTTTTGGGGAGGGTTCCCCTACTAAAATACACTACAGAAAAAATCCTCTCTACTGGAGGACCTATTTTCAACCCAAACACCGCACCAGAATTCAGCAAAAGAGGCCTAAGAGGTCGGGCCGGTTTTCGCGCTCTTTTTCGGCGAGGCCACTACGATTCGGATCTTCTTCCAGTGCCGCTCGCCTTTGCCAGGCGCGAGGCCGTTTCAAAGCGGTTTCGGCAGTTTCGGTTCTCGAGAACTGATGCCCGAAAAGCTCATTTAGATGTGTGTGTGTGCCTGTTTTTAGGGGAACCCCCACAAAATGGTGGTTTTTTTCTGGTTTCCTTTTAAAGCCAACAGACAGTTCCTTCTGGTTTCCTTTTAAACCCTAAGGTGGATGGTGCTGCCTGGTTTTGTGGGGAACAATGAGTTGTAGCCATGTAGAACCAAATGGCATGGGGTTTTGGGTGCTGCTCACATGAGGTTTCATCGAAATGTCCTGATTCGTCTCAGGGTTCTGGACATGGGGGACGAGCTCTAAGTTGGTCCTCTTGGGGAAAGCACAAGCAAAACCCGCGCCTTCAAGCAGGGCTTGAGATGACGATGTTTTGGTATGGAAAGACCCGAGCCGGCCCATGTTCAGCCACCATGTCAACACCCAGAACCCTGCGGTGCTGCCCATAGACGCAAACATGACGCAAACGCATCGCTACCCGGGCAAGTGAAGGTTGGCAAGGGACAGTACTAGCAAAGGATTTCCGCCCTCTTGATTATTAGCACGTTGGTCACTGCCGCGTGTGAAGGGAAGCTCAAAACAAGGTTGTTTTAGCAACAATGGCTTAAGCAAGTAAACATACGTAAGCAAAGCCCTGTAAATAGCCCAGCATGCTTGCTTTCCCAAGAGGAAACAACAACATGATGGGTAATGCCGAGAATTCTATTTTCTGCCCAGTGTTGATGAGTTTGGAGAGAAAGCACAATTGAAACCGACAACCCAATTTGAGGGCTTCCGCAATTTCGAGAAAGTCTTGCTCGTGTGTCTGAATTGGATGTGTTTCTCTTGGGGAAGACCAAGTTTATGGTCTAAGCCAAAACTTTAGACTTACCCCCTGAGTTCACGGACTTTCATCACACTTTGTGGGTTTGGACCTGTTGGTGGCGGACAACAAGTGTAGTTTGTTATCGGCCAATCCTTTCGATCAGAAATAAACTTGTGGCCAAGCACTCTGGAAGTTTTTTGTGCATTTGCTTGGATGTTAGGTAATGGGTTTTCCATTAAATCACTAAAAGTTAAGCTTTTAGCAGGGGAGCAGAAAGCAACCGAGTCGGATTCGCTCAGGGCAGGTCCTGCTGCGAGTGGAAGCGCCCCATGGTGCCGCCCAGATATTTTCGTCGGGGATGCGGATTGGTCATCTCGCTGGCTAGAGACTTTCAAGGGCAGTGCTAGAGTATAGATTTCTCTTGGTCAAGGCCCATGATATTGACAGCGCTCCTTAAAAGATACATGTTGCAACCATTAGAAACATGGGTTTTTCCACCAAAATACAGGGAATTCACCATTTACAAGGCAATGTTCAGGTGTATCAGTATTGACTGTTGTTATGCTTTCTTGAAAGTCAGAAGCTGGTTTTGTCCACCTTTTGGGGAGTGACTTAGATAGCGGCTTCGCCTTTATTCCGTTAAACGGAGCAAGTCTAAACCTGGGTCAAAGTACCTCTTTAGGTGCCAAGGGGGTGGTTCCCAAAACCTCAGCAGCGGCGCATGTCGGGGCCAGGACGGGCTCTACTTCACATGATTCGCCACCGGGCAAGAAGGTTAGCAAGCCGGTAGGTGTTGAAGGCTTGCCACCATAGAATGAGTTGTGTTCTTTTATCGGGACATGTTCATGTTTGGCTGTTCGCCATTTTTGGTGGCACCCCAATGGTTTGGTTCTTTCTGTTACCGGGCGAAAGGGACACCAATGCCTCCTTTTGGCAAACCTTTCACCTTGAACCGTTGGTTCGGCCCTTTAACCTCTACGCAGAGTGGCATTGGGGGCGCCTTTTTGCTGGGACAACTTGTTTTCCAGGACTGGGTAGTCAAACAAATGTCAGGCTACCCTGGATTGGTGATGGGTGGTTTTGGGAGTTTGAACCCTTGGTGTTTGTACGGGGCTTCATGGGAAGCCCACATCCCCTCACAAGGTTGTACTGGTTCTCTTTGGGGGCAGTGGCGGACCTAATCGAAGTGGCCTTTCCCGGCATGGCAACGCCTTAGGGATGGCAACCACATAGCTTGGACCTTGACACCCAGCTCACAGAAATCTACACGGCGTGTCTTCCAGCTTGGAACTGTTTGGACATGATGGGATTTCTGTCCACGAGCCATGTTTGCCCAAGCGAGGGAAGCTGAGAATGGATCCCTCTACCTTCCAAATTGATCTTTGGGTTCCGTTCTTTGACCTCAACCATTTTTGTCGGGAACACTTGTTTTCCAGCAAATGGATCGGTCTTTGGGATTTGAACCCCTGACTTGTAGGGGGTAAATGGGAAACCACCCCAAACCTCCAAACCACAGGGAAACCACCCCCCAAAGCTCCAAAATGACCGGGAACCTTCTTGTGGTAAATGGGAAACCACCCCCCAAGCCTCCAAACCACACCACCCCCCAATCATCTTCAAACCACCCCCCCTTTTGGAGGGAATTCACTCCCCAAACACTCTAAGGGTTGATTCAACCATCATTCTTTTCGAACACCGGATCCGTTTGCCTGGGATTCCGGAGTTTTTCTAGAAAGATTCGGATCCCTCAGAATGGAATTGGAAGGTAGCGCCAGAACCACAGGGAGTCTAAGAATGGATCTCCGTTTTTATTTGCCCCCCTCCGATGAGACGCGGCTCGCGGCTGTCGGCAAGGCGTGGACTTCGACCGCGGCTGCCTGGCGGAGGTGGGAGGAGTCTACAGCGCCGGGAACTCGCCGGGTTTCAGGATGCCCCGGAATTGTTTGTATATTATGAGGGGTCATGTGTTTGTTTAAATAATAATAATGATAACAATAAATAAATAAATGAATAACTAGATACACAAATAAATCAACACACAAATCAATAAATAAATAAAGTCGTTTAAGAATACCAAAAAGCATTCGACTTTTATACGAGCCCCATTTTCCTGTTTGTTGTTTTGGTTGGGGGGGTCGCTTTGAACAAATCAGCCACAAACAGAGTGGCCTCTTCTTTCCCATTGCCGGGGAAAGTGAACGTCCGAAACCGGTGGTTTCCTTTCAGCGGTACCACTCGAGGATTTTTGAGCCACTGGTGTCAGTTTGGTTCCTTTCATCGTTCCTTTCATCCTGTGGCACCCTGCCCGTTTTTTGCTACTCACATACTGCCTCCACACAAAATGGGAGTGACGTCGGCAGGAAGGCGGGCTACATGACAGCCCGCGACAAGTACTTCAATGGCATGAGGGGGCTTGTCAACCCTCAAACCAAAGACGAAGACCACGAGGAGTATAAGGTCCTCCGGCCTCAGGTCGCTCCTGGACGGCGTCGTCCCCTTGAGGCTAGAGTTTCCGAGGTGGATGCCCATCCTCATCCAGATCACGATAGACCACCTCGCCGGAGTTGCTTTCACGAAGACTTATCCAACCACGTGGCTCGTCTTCCAGGGAGAGTTCAAGGGCCCTGAGCACTTGGACATTTGCCATAGTTGCTATGTCCTTGGTTTGAGACCACATAGGCCTGGGTATCATGGGTATCACCACTCTAGAGCTTATCTGAGACCCCATAGATTTTGGGCGGGGAATCATGATCAAGACATCAGACACCATGCATTGACATAGTTGAGCGAACATTGGTGGACGTGGGGTTGCAAAACCGCCGCTTGCCAACGAAAAATCCACGATGCGTCTGACGCCTCTTCTTTGGGCCCGTTCATGCCAAAGCCCAGAAGCATAACTTCAGTTTGGCCGATCTCCTACGGCCTGGCTGGGCGATCACCATAGGAATACGTGCATTAAGACAACCTGCAAAGTGCACCCAGCCAGACACTCAGGAATCGGCCGAAGTTGAGCAAAGCCATTGAGGCCACCCCCCTCGAGGGCGCATGAAGAAGCAGTGTCGGATTCATTGAAGTAGATGCTGTTGGGTACACCTGCATGTTGGTGTTTCTTCATTGCATGTACAAAGCATGCCACAGTTTTGTTGAATTCTTGAGTTATTCACAGATGCCAGGTTTCAATGGGCAGCATCCTCATTTTTCCCTTTGTGTTTAGCAATGCAGTTGAAACGAGTTGGGTGAAAGTAGACGGCACGGAGCTCCAAACCAAGAGAATTGGCGGGAAGCTGAGGGTGAACAAAGTTGTTAAGCAAGGAAATGCAAAGGCAGGAGCTGTGGATTGAGGCCAACAGAAGCCCAGACACACGGCCCAGTGCCCTTTTGCCTCCTTTGGATCAAAGGAGCTCCTTTCTTAACCCGACACCCGAGAGGGGGGGGGGGGTTTCACTATTTTTTTGAAAGAACCTGTTTGGAGTCTAGGTGTCCCAGTAGTGCCCTTTTACCCCTTTTTTGGGGGAGGGTTCCCCTGCTAAAATAGACTACAGAAAAAGGGTACCCTTATTCTAACTCTCTTCTGGAGGACTTGGAATTGATTTCCAAGGGACGCCCAGGGAAGAAGCCGAGCCTTTTCTCAGGGGTCCGATCTGACCGCAGCTTGGCCCAAGGGCTGCGCTGGCTTGGGCAACATCGCTGTGGCGCAGCGGGAGGCGACATCTCCACCCAAGCGGGGTGGCTTCCGTTTGCTTAGGGTGCCTTCCACCGACTAACATGGAAGTGCACAGACCCCTCTACAAAGCTACTTTCCTTTTGGAAAGAGGGGTTGTGCACTTCCATGTTAGTTGGAAGGGTAGTATTATTATTTTTGCCTGATGGTTTCCTGCTGGAAATATGTTTCGTGTGTTTGTTTGTTTTTTGTCGGCTTGAGCAAGTGGGTGGTTGCTTCACTTGTTTCCTGAAAGGGGGGGGGTCTGGACACCCAACACCCACTACCCTTTTCCCTTTGTTCTTATTTTGGAGGAGCTCCCTTGAAAGTCAAAAAGGCCCAAAGGCGTCCTTTTTGCCCATTGCCGCTGGTGTTGGGCGATTAGCAGCAATAAAAACCTAAGTTTCTGAAGAAGAGAACAGGGGAGACATGTGTTTTAGTGTTTTTGCAGACCCCCCACCATGAAAAACACCCAGCTGAGTTCTGACTTTATGCTTTATTCGGGAAAACCGGCGTGAAACAAAAACAAAAAAGTGTGCTGTTTTGACCCAATCGGGCTTATGGAGCCGGTTTTTCATCCGCAAAGATCCCTTTCCCGAGTTGAAGCACGGGCTTGAAGCTGTAAACTTTGGCTTTCGGGGAAAAGAACGCGCGTTTGCACACGCACCGAGAGAAAGGTTTGTCCATGCGATTTAAAGCAAGCGTTTGGGCCTTTGGTGAGTGAGGAGACTTGTCGTTCGGTTGCGCTAAGGGAAGCGGGTTCATTCCCACATTCCCTACATCGTCCACGCGGTGTGTTGGTGTTTTGGAACCCAGAAAAACAAAAAGAAACCACTTAGGCTCAAATAAAAACCAAAAGGAAACCACTTAGGTTCAAGAAAAGACCCAAGGGAAACACACATTTGGGTTAGGTTCAAAGAAAACAAATGAGAAAACGCTTAGGTTCAAAGAAAAACCAAAGGGAAACACACATTTGGGTTAGGTTCAAAGAAAAGCGAATGGGAAAACGCTTAGGTTCAAAGAAAAACCAAAGGGAAACACACATTTGGGTTGGGTTCAAAGAGAAACGAATGGGAAAACGCTTAGGTTCAAAGAACAACCAAAGGGAAACACACATTTGGGTTGGGTTCAAAGAAAAACGAATGGGAAAACGCTTAGGTTCAAAGAAAAACCAAAGGGAAACACACATTTGGGTTGGGTTCAAAGAAAACGAATGGGAAACGCTTGGGTTCAAAGACAAACCAAAGGGTAACACACAATTTGGGTTAGGTTCAAAGAAAAACGAAAGGGAAAACGCTTAGGTTCAAAGAAAAACCAAAGGGAAACACACATGTGGGTTTGGTTCAAAAAGAAACGAATGGGAAACCGCTTTGGTTCAAAGAAAAACCAAAGGGAAACACACATGTGGGTTGGGTTCAAAAAGAGAAACGAATGGGAAAACGCTTAGGTTCAAAGAAAAACCGAAGGAAAACACATTTGGGTGGGGTTCAATGAAAAACGAATGGGAAAACGCGTTGAATCAAAGAAAAAGCAAAGGGAAACACACATTTGGGTTAGGTTCAAAGAAAAACGAATGGGAAAACGCTTAGGTTCAAAGAAAAACCAAAGGGAAACACACATTTGGGTTGGGTTCAAAGAGAAACGAATGGGAAAACGCTTAGGTTCAAAGAACAACCAAAGGGAAACACACATTTGGGTTGGGTTCAAAGAAAAACGAATGGGAAAACGCTTAGGTTCAAAGAAAAACCAAAGGGAAACACACATTTGGGTTGGGTTCAAAGAAAACGAATGGGAAACGCTTGGGTTCAAAGACAAACCAAAGGGTAACAGGTTAGGTTCAAAGAAAAACAAAAGGGAAAACGCTTAGGTTCAAAGAAAAACCAAAAAGCATGTCCAGAGTGAACTGGGTGTTTTCCATTTCATAACTGGGTGTTTTGTTAGCTGGTGCTTTTATGCTGGTACTGTGACTTGCCGCTGTGCAGCTTTTGTTGACACAACCATACACCGCATCACCCTCTTCCTGGCAACACGGTATCCAATATCGTCAGCTACTTGACAGGCCTGAATCTGCCACCCCTGCAAGCTGAAATTGTCCCTTCTGCAGCTTGGGGCCTTGCAATTTAGCTTTCTTCCGGGCATTGCTGCAGTCTTGCACAAGTAGTCAGTTTCAGGAATTGTTTTTGGCGCCGTGCGACTGACAACAGGAAGGACGCCTTGAAGTACACCCCCCCTGCCAGCGTTGAACAAGCTCGCGCAAGGCCACACATGCTAGCATTACAGAAGGGCCTTTCCTTTGCTGCAAAAACATTTGCATTCTATGGCTGCTTAAATTGCGGTTCCTCTTCCTTTTCTACAGTTCCTTTGGAGCAGGAAGTGCCGCTTGCGGCCTTCGCAAAGGGCCCACCAGCAAGCTTGCAGGACCTCCTCTTAGTGACAAAAAATGTCTCCCAATAAAACAAACAGGTTCGCCAAGCACCCCAACATCTACCAACCAGCCCCCTGAGCCCTCCCAAGTATGACTGAAGTAGAAACCCACCTTACATTCCCTGGAAAGAGTGTTCCAAGTCAGTAACTTTGAAAGTGGATTCAGCCTGAAGCTAACTATGATTTATATGTGAATGGAAGTTGCAGCCTTGCATACTCTCAAGGCCTTGGAAGGTGGGAGACCTTCCGTAAGATTGTAAGAACATGTGTGCGACCAAAACCCTTAAACATAGGGGTCCTCTAATAGTAGAGCCATTCGTGTCCCTTACATCTTGTTTTCATGCGTGCTGTCGTTTATCACTTGTGGGGCATGGTTTCGGGGTCGCACTCGGGTCAACATTCATGTTTTTTGAAAATGCCAGCGCGACCGAGGCCCCAGAACAGTGCCGGCTCAATCATAAATGGCGTAGGCGCACGTGTGCAAGAGCCCGCAAAAGCCATGCCCGGGCTCCAAATGAAAAGCCCTCGCGCAAGCCGTGCTGTAGCCTGTAGCAGCATTATCACTTAATCAAGGCGAGGCTTCTTGAGGGTACCTGTTCCATACTCTCGCACTGATCACCACCGTGCAGCCAGCTAATGTGGGTGTTGCAGCACAGCAAGTCCAAGTAAAGAACAGTCAAGCAGTCATTGCTTCATCAGGTGCGGGCAACAGGCTGCTAGCCAAGGGCCTGCTTGGGCAGCTGCTGGCAGGCTGAAAGTTAATTCTGGGAGTTTGAGGTTTGACAAAACCGTACGCTGCGACACGCTACTTTGCGTGCTTGAGGGCAACTATTTGTGCTGGTTCCCATTTGATGTGCGAGTTTGCGCTGGGTGTCTCTGTCCATTCGCCTCACTCATTTCATGAACAAGCACCGTTCCTGCGTAGTGTTACATCAATGATGGGGGGTATCTGGCAGAGTGACGGTTGCCTGGCCAACTCGGCTCAACCAGCCAACTCGGACCTGACAAAGTGACGGATTTTCATGGCCAACTTGGTTCAACAAGCCAACTCGGATCTGGCAGAGTGACGGGGTTTCCAGAAACCCAGTCACAAAACCCCAGCCAAATGGGTTCAACCAGCCAACTTGCGTGCCTCAGAACAGATCACAACTCCTGACCCCTCAGTCCAAGTGAAATCGTGACTGGGTTTCCAGAAACCCAGTCACAAATTGTGGCCTTTGTGGCGAACCAGTCGCACCTGCTGCACACTGTCCACCATCAGATGTGTGATGGGTGTTCAAGTTCAAGGCTAAATTGTGACTGGGTTTCTGGAAACCGAGTTGGCTGATCCGAGTTGGCTTGTTGAACCAAGTTGGCCAGGGAAATCCGTCACCTTGTCAGGTCCGAGTTGGCTGGTTGAGCCGAGTTGGCCAGGCAACCGTCACTCTGCCAGATACCCCCCATCATTGATGTAACACTACGCAGGAACGGTGCTTGTTCATGAAATGAGTGAGGCGAATGGACAGAGACACCCAGCGCAAACTCGCACATCAAATGGGCACCAGCACAAATAGTTGCCCTCAAGCACGCAAGGTAGCATATCGTAGCGTACAGTTTTGTCAAGCCTCAAACTCCCAGAATTAACTTTCAGCCTGCCAGCAGCTGCCCAAGCAGGCCCTTGGCTAGCAGCCTGTCGCCCGCACCTGATGAAGCAATGACTGCTTGACTGTTCTTTACTTGGACTTGCTGTGCTGCAACACCCACATTAGCTGGCTGCACGGTGGTGATCAGTGCGAGAGTATGGAACAGGTACCCTCAAGAAGCCTCGCCTTGATTAAGTGATAATGCTGCTACAGGCTACAGTACGGCTTGCGCGAGGGCTTTTCATTTGGAGCCCGGGCATGGCTTTTGCGGGCTCTTGCACACGTGCGCATGCGCAACAAACAGCGCAAGGTTGAAAGCTTAGCCTGATTGGCTTGGGACACCGCGTTGAGCCATTTATGATTGAGCCGGCACTGTTCTGGGGCCTCGGTCGCGCTGGCATTTTCAAAAAACATGAATGTTGACCCGAGTGCGACCCCGAAACCATGCCCCACAAGTGATAAACGACAGCACGCATAAAAACAAGATGTAAGGGACATGAATGGCTCTACTAGAAGAGGACCCCTATGTTAAAGGGTTTTGGTCGCACACATGTTCTTACAATCTTACGGAAGGTCTCCCACCTTCCAAGGCCTTGAGAGTATGCAAGGCTGCAACTTTCAGTCACACAAAAATCATAGTTAGCTTCAGGCTGAATCTACTTTCAAAGTTACTGACTTGGAACACTCTTTCCAGGGAATGTAAGGTGGGTTTCTACTTCAGTCATAGTTGGGAGGGCTCAGGGGGCTGGTTGGCAGATGTCGGGGGGCTTGAGGCAGCAGTCTGAATCAGAGCTACCCTTGTTCATCATTCATTAGGTGAGTAAACAAACAGTTCATGACATGCGTCTCTGCGGCCGGCGGCTGGAAGTGTCTTGGGCATTAGCGGGATGTTGCTGGCTCTCTGGCGCAAGCAGCCATAGAAAGCAAACGTCCGTGCAGCAAAGAAAACCCTACCGTAATGCTTGCATGTGTGGCTTCGCTGGCATCGACGGGGATACTTCAAGGCATCCTTTCTGTTGTCAGTCGCATGGCTCCAAACACAATTTCTGAAAGTTATGACTCGCGCAAGACTGCAGCAATGTCCGGATCAAAACTAAATTGCAAGGCCCCAAGGCTGCCGAAGGGGCGATTTAAGCTTGCAGGGGCAGCAAATCGAAGCCGGTCAAGTAGCTGACCATCAGGGATGCTGCGTTGCCAGGAAGAGGGTGATGCAGAGTAAAAAGCAGGATGCCGCAAACAAATGCATGGTTTCGCATTTGGATTAACCAAGAGTCAACAATGGGAACGCACATCTTTGCTCAAAAACAGGTGCACAGCAGCAAGGCATAAAACCAACACACAAGCGCCAGCCAGCAAAACATCCAGTTACAAAATAGAAAACACCCACTTCACTCTGGACGTGCTTCAAAGGGAAACACACATGTGGGTTTGGTTCAAAAAGAAACGAATGGGAAACCGCTTTGGTTCAAAGAAAAACCAAAGGGAAACACACATGTGGGTTGGGTTCAAAAAGAAAAACGAATGGGAAAACGCTTAGGTTCAAAGAAAAACCGAAGGAAAACACATTTGGGTGGGGTTCAAAGAAAAACGAATGGGAAAACGCTTTGAATCAAAGAAAACCAAAGGGAAACACACATTTGGGTTAGGTTCAAAGAAAAACGAAAGGGAAAACGCTTAGGTTCAAAGAAAAAACCAAAGGGAAACACACATGTGGGTTTGGTTCAAAAAGAAACGTATGGGAAAACGCATAGGTTCAAGAAAAACCAAAGGAAACACACAGTTGGGTTGGGTTGAAAGAAAAACGAATAGGAAAACGCTTAGGTTCAAGACAGAACCCAAGGGAAGCACACATTTGGGTTAGGTTCAAAGAAAAACGAATGGGAAAACGCTTAGGTTCAAAGAAAAACCAAAGGGAAACACACATTTGGGTTAGGTTCAAAGAACAACGAATGGGAAAACGCTTAGGTTCAAAGAAAAACCAAAGGGAAACACACATTTGGGTTAGGTTCAAAGAAAAAACCAATGGGAAACGCACATTTCGGTTGGGTTCAAAGAACAACGAATGGGAAAACGCTTAGGTTCAAAGAAAAACCAAAGGGAAACACACATTGGGTTGGGTTCAAAGAGAAACAAATGGGAAAACGCTTAGGTTCAAAGAAAAAACCAAAGGGAAACACACATTTGGGTTGGGTTCAAAGAGAAACGAATGGGAAAACGCTTAGGTTCAAAGAAAAACCAAAGGGAAACACACATTTGGGTTGGGTTCAAAGAGAAACGAATGGGAAAACGCTTAGGTTCAAAGAAAAACCAAAGGGAAACACACATCTGGGTTGGGTTCAAACAGAAACAAATGGGAAACCGCTTAGGTTCAAAGAAAAAACCAAAGGGAAACACACATTTGGGTTGGGTTCAAAGAAAAACGAATGGGAAAACGCTTAGGTTCAAAGAAAAACCAAAGGGAAACACACATTTGGGTTCGGTTCAAAGAGAAACGAATGGGAAAACGCTTAGGTTCAAAGAAAAACCAAAGGGAAACACACATTTGGGTTGGGTTCAAAGAGAAACAAATGGGAAACCGCTTCGGTTCAAAGAAAAAACAATGGGAAACACACATTTGGGTTGGGTTCAAAGAAAAACCAAAGGGACACACACATTTGGGTTAGGTTGAAAGAAAAGCGAATGGGAAAACGCTTCGGTTCAAAGAAAAACCAAAGGGAAACACACATTTGGGTTGGGTTCAAAGAGAAACGAATGGGAAACGCTTGGGTTCAAAGACAAACCAAAGGGTAACACACAATTTGGGTTAGGTTCAAAGAAAAACGAAAGGGAAAACGCTTAGGTTCAAAGAAAAACCAAAGGGAAACACACATGTGGGTTTGGTTCAAAAAGAAACGAATGGGAAACCGCTTTGGTTCAAAGAAAAACCAAAGGGAAACACACATGTGGGTTGGGTTCAAAAAGAGAAACGAATGGGAAAACGCTTAGGTTCAAAGAAAAACCGAAGGAAAACACATTTGGGTGGGGTTCAAAGAAAAACGATTGGGAAAACGCTTTGAATCAAAGAAAAACCAAAGGGAAACACACATTTGGGTTAGGTTCAAAGAAAAGCGAATGGGAAAACGCTTAGGTTCAAAGAAAAACCAAAGGGAAACACACATTTGGGTTGGGTTCAAAGAGAAACGAATGGGAAAACGCTTAGGTTCAAGGAACAACCAAAGGGAAACACACATTTGGGTTGGGTTCAAAGAAAAACGAATGGGAAAACGCTTAGGTTCAAAGAAAAACCAAAGGGAAACACACATTTGGGTTGGGTTCAAAGAAAACGAATGGGAAACCTTTGGGTTCAAAGACAAACCAAAGGGAAACACACATTTGGGTTAGGTTCAAAGAAAAACGAAAGGGAAAACGCTTAGGTTCAAAGAAAAACCAAAGGGAAACCCACTTGTGTGATATCTCGAATGAGCCAATTCGCTGCGTCTCACGCGCCAGGGCCTCACCGTGGGTGACCACGAGTTGGCCTTGAGGGCGGTGAACCCGGCGCGCACGCCGCAGCCCAACTGGCCGGGCGTCTCAGGCCACGAGCTTAGGCGGTGCTCAATGTACTTCGCCGAGGGGTCTGTTTTGGCCGTGGTTGTCAAAGTCGTTTTGGGATCCCATTTTGGTTGGTAGGTGATTTCTGGGATGTTCACTTGGGGGTAACCAGGATTTTTTGAGCCCATGGCCTAGGGCAGGTCACTTGATCGCACTTTTTGGGCTTGAACCATTTTCGGGGCAAGCAAGAAGTTTGGAGTTGTTTTGGCCCGCAAGCTCGGGAAGTGAGGCCAGGTTGGTTGATAAATGGATGGCACTGGTTTCAATTTGGTTCAAAATGAGATCGCCCCCCAACTCTTGTGGGACAAGCCCTATGATCTACTGGGGGCGTATGCATTCTTGACCAAAATTTGTAGGTCAAGCTTGATGTCCATGTCTGGTCTTGTGAAAGCAAAACTGCCATGAAACCTATGGCCCAGCACGGTAGTTCGCACATAAAGATTGCAAGATTCAACGTCTTTGCATCCCCTTGACATACATGAACAAAAAGGCAGCACCACAGATGATTCACACATGCAAAGCCAAGGAAGCACATGATCAATCCATCAGCGGTCCACCAAAGACTGCTGATTGCCCCAATGTTGCCTTCGCTTATCAACTACTCTGCCCGCTTTGCTTTTTGCAGGGGCATGCCAGAAGGGCCCCGAATTGTGACAACCATCCATGCTGGATGTATAATGTTAGCTTTAGTGATAAATGAGCATACTGAAAGCAGCGTGGAGTATTGCCAATCCACTTAGGTGCTCATGAAGGAACCACACGTGGCGAATGGCTGGGACGAATCAAGCCTTGATCATCACCTAGCGTGGTGTGTTCCGGTGTTTTTTTTTGAGTACGTTGGGCCGCAGATGTGGCTTCCCTTGAAACCAACCTCAAAAGGGTACCCTCACAGCGCACACCGGTATGCCCAGGGGTTGCTCGGCTATCGCCCGTCGAGACTCCAAGCAAGATTCTCACCTAAGCCATGGCCATTGGGGATCTGATGGATGCCGAACAGTCACAAACTTGCCTCCGGCGAAGAAGGTGTAGGGTTTGTCCTTGGTTTACGAGGATTCTCGAAGACTGGAAGTCCAACCTTCCATGCTCGGCTCCCCTTCTGACGTTGCCCGGGCTGCTCATAGGGCGTCCCTTTTGTAGTGGGTTCCCTGAAGAGATTGTAGACTCGGATTGGCCAACCCTCCATTGTGAACAGCCCAGTTTACCTCATGCTCAAGATTGCTTTGATCAAAATGCCGTCATACCCTCAAGCCTCACGATGCCTTTCACTCAGATCTGAGTCTTCCTGCCGTGACAACCTCCCCTTCGGATGGATCCGACCATTTGTTGCATTCAATCCTTTCTTTTGTGGGTGACAACCGCCTAGTAGCATGCGTCTATTTATCTGAACAGACTGAGTTTTTAGAGCTTTTTTTCAGTTCCACGGGAGGCCTTTGCTTGTCCCCTCAATATCTGACGGGGTTTTCATCCTGCCGTAGCCGCGCCACCAAAATGGAAGAACAAACACCTTGTCCGGGAAGTAAATCCAAGTCCCCTTTTGGCCCTGGGGCGGCTTCAGGGTTTGTATCCAAGACACTCCGCGTGTTTTTTTTGTTTTCTTTGTCTCTTCTTTGTTTGGAGGGGGAGAAAGCCTTTAGCGTCCATCCAAAAGGGGGCAAGCCCTTTTGTTCCTTAAAACCATAAATCCACCAATGTCTTTGTGTCATCGCTACGTAAACCAACAAATGGACCGTCGCGCATGTCACTGAGGTGGCTGCTGGAATCCTTCGCGGACCTAGCGCTGCAGACGGTCTTCGAGGGGCCGTTTGAGCAAGTGAGGCGGCACTTGAGCGGTTCCAGGGAGAGCGAAAGGGAAGATGGGCAAGAGGTTGCTTGGGAATGGGGCTTCTCCAAAGTGCTGTTGCGTATTCGGGTAGGCTATCAAAAGTAAAACAGACACTGAACATGTGATGGTGTGCCCCTCAATTGGGCGAAGAATATCTCAACACGGATCAATGAACTGGGAGGGTGCAACTTTTGAAAAGTAATCCGGAGTCCCTCTCAAGTGGAACAAGCGCATGACTCAAGCAGGTGATTGATTCTAAGTTCCTATCAAGGGATTGACCAACACCTCCGAGCTTTTGGACCATTGACGGAACGTTGCCCTAAAGTATCCCAGTTGTCGTGGATTGCACGGTTTTGCGGGAGCTTTCGGGAGGGGAGACTTGAGTTGCTTCTTCCTCCCCCCGTTTTTTTTGGGGGGCATGGCATGGCCACAGGGGGTCTCGGAGGTTTGCCGGGTATCCATGGATTTCAAAAGGCCTCATTTGACCGTCGCCCCGAGGGTTCTCTCAATGACTCGATGAAGGTATGAAGCCCTGGTGGGCACCCCCTAGTCTACCTGATTTTGCCACCAATCTAGGGGTTGATTCCGTTTCCATTCTTTCCAACCATCCTTCTTTTTCAACACCCAGCCGTTTTCCCTGGGATTCCGGAGGTTTCTCGAAAGATTCGGATCCCTGGGTTCAGAATGGGCATGGAAAGAATTGCCCTAGAACTAAGTCACGGTGCACTCCCAAAAGGCGCCATGGCCGGTCGGAAGGGAGGGCACCCTGTTGGGAGAAAAGCCACTGCTCGGTCAGGCAGAGTGGCCGTGGTGATGGCTATGAGCTGTTGCAAAGCCTGCAGGCACAGGGGATGGCGGTGTCAAACGGGTCCCCTGGCTTCCCTGTAGCCAAAACCCGCTTTCGTAGGGGGTTATAGCAAGGCCGCAAGGTGGATTTGAGGTTTGGTCAAAGATGTCATGATTTGACCATCCATTTGGAAGGGACATTGCAGGACTCTCTAAAAAAGTCCCACAAAATCCAGAAGACTCAGTGCTTTCGGCATGTCCAGTAAACTGGAACATCACACTTTTGACCGTGAACCTGAAAAGGGTACCATCAAAAGAAACATACCTACCATATTTGCCTTGATGGTGGGTAATTATGTTATGTGCTGAGACGCATGAAAGGGCATGATATCCGAAAGACATCCAACGAATGCTCAACTTGTTGACTCCGTGGTCTTGCTTGACATCTCGGGATTGATTCTATGTGTCGTTTTGTTTTGAGCAGAATGTCACAAGCGGGCAATTCTGAAAGGCTGATTCAAACATGTCTAAGTTATCTCTGAAGTTGCACATCAACACGCTGGTGATTTATGTGTTAGGAGTTAGGATAAAATATATTCTTAGTATTATTATTATTATTATTATTATTATTATTATTATTATTATTATTATTATTATTATTATTATTATTAATAATATTAATAATAATAATAATAATAATAATAATAATAATAATAATAATAATAATAATAATAATAATAATAAAAATAATAATAATCATAATAATAATAATAATAATAATAATAATAATAATAATAATAATAATAATAATAATAATAATAATAATAATAATATTATTATAGCTTGGGATGCGTTCCACGTTTACCTGTTTGTTTTTGTTAACGGACACGTCCATGGCCGGTAAGGTTTCAGAATGTTATGTGCTATCAGCACCTTATAGATTCCAAGCTGCGACAGCATGCAGCATCTTTGAGCAGGGTGTCGGTCAGACGGCGAGAAATTGTTTCTCGAAAAAGTCGTTTCTGCAACGTCGGTGTCACGCGCTCTATTGAACCCGTCTCCCAAAGTGGCCGAGTTGCGACATGCATGTGGCATCCGGCTTTGACTTGGCTTCCCAAAGCTGGCTTCGTAGAAGCCACAACCAAAACCACTTGGGGTAGATGAAGTCGAGGGTCAATCCCAACCATGAATCCGCGCGAATGTCCCCACATCAACGTTTTGCCCATTTAAGGCGAGCTTCATTTGGTGCTGGTCATGTTTTATTGGGGAGCACAATATATTGTGTATATATATATATATGTACAGGAACCCTGCTTGTTTCTCTGTTTGGGAAGGCCCTCTTAGTCGCAACTGGGAAGTCAGGATCGGGCGGCAAAATTCGCAGCCTGAGGCAACGGTGAGGCCCAGCAGCCAGCAGCCAGGCCTTTGGGCAACGGATGTTTTTTTTTGGCTTGGGGGTGGGGGGTGGGGCGGGGGCGGGGGGTGATGAATGCAGGGGGGTCCCTAAGTTTCCCCTGAAAGGCGTTCGACAAAAAGGGTTTGGGGCAGTATTTGTTTCATGGCCTCAGAAGAACATTGTTCTTTGGGTGGCCATTCTCTGGATTTGGAAGGACTGCGAAACTCCGGGTGTCAAATAGCGGGGCTAGAAAAACTACAAAATGCCGACCCCTTTTGGCCTATTTTTGGGAGAAACTGCCATTTTGCAGCCAGAAATCATTTCGGTTTCCCGCTTAAACGCCACCCCGCATTCCGAAGCTCACGGATTTGTTTCCCGAAAAAGTGCTCGTTTTGGGCTAACGATCGACCGAACTTGGCGCGGGCCTTGTGGACATGGATGGGAGGTTTGCTCACCGGAAAGGCGGCCGCAACCTATGGAATCCAAATGAGTACCTGGACTTTCCATGACCCTTAAAGAAAGGGGTCATTGCCCAAAAATTAAGGGGTACCCCCTGCCCAAAAATTAAGGGGTAACCCCTGTTTCTAGGGGTCATGGAGACTCTAGGTACTGGGAACCCGAGATGAAGAAGCCGGGTTGATGAACAAGGGGGCGTTCCATGTTTGGGGGGACAGGTTCGTTTTATCCGGTGTCTCATCTACGGCAAGTTCCCACATGTTTGGGACTTATCAAAGTAGCAAATGTCGAAATCATTTGAACATCACCTTTGCCGGTCTCACGCATGTCCTTGGGATGTAAGGGGAAATCTGGGAGGCTCTTTCCATTTTGTTTTGCAGGTCATACAGGGGACCCATGACAAGCTTTCCCACACAAAGCGCACAGACCCTCTTCCTTCTTTTGGAAAGCGGCACCCGAAGCCATGCTTCCCACACAAAGTGCGCTCTCCTTTTGGAAAGGGCTGTGCGCCCGAGGCCAATGGTTGTTGATTTTTTTGTTTTTGCCCCGGAGCTGTGGGAACCCTGCGGCTAGGGCCAATCAACATCTTCCTGTGGCTCAAGCTGCGGCCCCAGCGACAAGACGAGTTTTGCAGCTTCGGGCACTCTCCGAGCCAAAAGAAGACAACTCAAAGTTCACTTGGTTGGTCTTAGACCCCTTAGACGCCCATGCAAAAAGTAGTGTTTTTGCTGAGAGAGGTTTGAACAGCTAAAAGTTGTACGACAGAGTATCCAAGTCAAGGATAGCAAGTTGGTGTGCGCTCCTTCTGCTTCGTTTCATCGAAAGGAAGCAAACGGAACGCGAACCAGTTGTGTATCCCGCCATTGTCTTTAGAGCATGCCTTGTCCACCTTTTCAGATCTTTAGCCGGGCTTCGCCCTTTTCATTTTTCCTGCGGACGGAAGCCCCTTTCCAATCAACGACAGAAAACGGGTGGCAACTTTTTTCCGCGGCCACTGGAGATGCAGTACACGGCAAGTGTGATTGAACCGCGTTGAAGGGCTTGAAACAGTTTGGGAGGACCTAGCTCTAACAAGGGTTCCGGTGTTGATAGGTGCTTGCCAAACTTACAGGGCATTTGTGCCCTCCCTCCCCAAAAAAACAAACAAGGTGAAGCAGATTGTTTCGGAGGCCTGTGCTTGGCCAAGTAGAGCTCGACACCACTGTTGTATATCGAAGGCCCCCCGTGCCCTTTTACCCTTTTTGGCAGAATAAAGGGTACCCTTATTCTAACCTCTCCGCTGGAAAACCTAGTATACATCCCGAAGACAAGGCATACATGCCCCTTCAAGTCTGACTGCCGTGGTCGATCTGGTGGTTTTGCCCATGCAGAGGGGTAAGCACTGCCTTCGAAATCCTCAGCTTGCTGGCTGCGAAAAATCAAGCAATATTTGTTGGATTTTCCCAAAGAGACGCCAAAAAGCGCGCGGATTTTTGTTCCAGGTTTGTCCAACAGCACCGAGTCCAAGCGTATCAAACCTTGAGCTTGTGGAGGGGAGGGTCCACCGTCCTGTCACTATCTTGCCCGTTGTTCCCTGTCCGGGTGATTTGATTTGAACCAGCGCTTTACTTGCTGGTCAGCAGAGAATGAGGGAATGGCCTGTGTGAACCATCCCTTGTTTCCCTCAAGGGAGTTCCTGGGTTGATTCCCTCATTCCCTACTGAGCACCTGCAAGTTTGCATATCCCAAAGATTCCGTGCAGGCTTAGGGTTGGACCAAGCCCCTAGCCCCAATCCCGGGAAGGGGCGCCTATTCTGGTTGCTAAATAACACATTTGTTGATTGTTCCCAAAGGAAACGGCAAGAGGATGCGCAAATTATATATTGATTGTCCAGATTCCCTATTTGACACCCAGTAGTCCTTATGGTTTTCCTTCAAATTTGTTGTTTGGTACCCTCAAAACTTTGCAGTGAGGACTGGAACCCATTTGACATTCTCCAAAGGAGTGAATCACTGAACCCGTGAGTAAGGTGACGCTTCTTGGCTATTGGCACATCACAAAGGGATTGTTTGGTTTGCTGCGCACTTCCTCCTTAGCAAGGGCCTGGAAGTTCTTACCTCGCATGTTGCACTCGTCTTTGTTGTTTCCAGTCCACACGAGGAAAGCTGGTCGCCTGCTTCGTTCGAAAGGCTGGCGATACCATTTGCGCATTGGTCCACAACGTCCGCGAACTGAATCCATATGGACGGGCAAAATCCGAACCAGGCACCTGATAGGTGGCTTACCCCAGTATTCATAGGGTTTCACCCGTTGTCCATTCACAGTAGTGAAGAATTCGTGGGGCAGGAATGCCTTTCAGTGACCAGGCTTCACAAAGTTGGCGTAAACCAAGCAGCCCTAGGTTGGAGCCTGGTTGAACCTGCCCTCCCTTGGTAGCTTGAACCTGGTATTATTGAGGCTCAGATTGATTTTGGGTGTTAAGAGTGAACCCCAAGGAATAGGTTGGTTCCGCCATTCCCTTCAAGCGCCCTCCGACAGCGGGGCTCCGCCACTTCGCAGAGAGCGCGCGCGTGGACCCAGCGCTTGAGCCTTCGAGGCCCCGGCAAGCCGTGCCTTTGGGCGGGCGCTTGGAGTTGCACGCGCCGCAGGCTGTGGAGCGCAGTGTTCGCATCCATTTGCTGAAGGAAATGCGATATGTTTTTCCCTGTTGGCTTTAAAGGGAATCGATTTCACGTTTTTTTTTGCCAGTGGACTTAGGCAAATGGAAGATAGGGGTCCTTCAATCTTCCTTTCTAGGACCTCCAAAAGCGGCGGTCGTTTCAATGAAATCAGTCAAGCTTGGGTGTGTTGCCTTGGTTGCAGTCCCAAGATGGTTGAACATCCAGACAGATTCTGGCCCTGACTGGAGTCTCCAGAGAGATCTGAAAACCATATTTATTGTGTACCTCAAAGGGCCATGATGGGTGAAAGAGGACCAACCCGGTTTTTACACCAGCTACCATGACTACAGCCCACTTAAACAGTAGATTGTAGGCATGGTCCATAAGAAGATCCAACCCTCAAATCACTCGTATGGTTATCACCTACTTGCCAACTGGGTTGAACATCCAAGTGGGGCAAGGGGGCCACTTGCCGAGCTTGAGTGAGATTATCAGGGCTCTAAGACTCGCCCTGGCCGGAGGATGCTACTGACGAACATCTGAGTACATGGGCGGTTTTGGGGCCTTTGCAACCACACATGGCATTGAGTCTCTCCCAGCAACGAGCCCAAAATGGGGATCCATTTTTTCAAGAAAACTTCAGGGGGGACACCCAAAAACATGTTTATTTTCATGGAACTGCCTTGGAGGTTTGGGTCGCCTCTCAGAAATTTTGGAGGCTTAGCTGGGGCGCAATTCCTTCTTTCAGTTTGTATGGGAAGGATTTCCCTTTAAAGTGAGCCAACCAAACAACGCGCCGGTGTGTTTCGCGTGGAAATAAACGCTGAGACTGAGATCATTTGATGCGATTTGCAACCTCGAGATCTGAACTGCAAGTGTGTGACGTCCTGACTGAGTGTCTCGAAATGGACCCCGTTTGGGCAGACCAAAAGAAAACAACTGGTTTTAGGGCGCCCCTTTGGTTGAGACGCACACACACACACACCACATTCAGGATTGGTTGCAAACTTACTTTAGCCACCAGATCCTGTTGCCTTTCAAAAAGGAAGCCAAAACGAGGGATGGTTGAATAGCGAAACCCACGTTTCGCAGGAATCAACCCCTTGTTCCCCCAGAATGAGACCTGAATACCACCAGAATAAGGCCTAGCGGCCTTAATTTCATCATATCTAGGAGGAAGCATCCTGCAACGGTTGTTCTGAGAGCAATCTTATCAACACTGGCATATCAATGCATAGCCCCAGCCCTTTGCACATTCCCACTCAAATTATTCCACGGGAAAGAAGTACACCAACAAAAAGCCAGAGCCACACAAAACTGGGAATTCCAACCAGCCCCTTGGCGAAATGGCAGGATACAAGCATGAAAGTAGATGGCGCAATCCCCACAGAGGCGGGTAAGTAACGGGTATCGCCTCTACCAAAATGAGAGAATTGCACCATCTACTTTCTGAGTTGGTTGGCCGGACAAAAAGGGCGGCGCGTTCAGACTTTGGTGTGTCACTCCGGTCTTCTGGTCTGCCAGGACGCCAAAATTCAGTTGGAAGCACATTTGAGTGGGTTGTTTGTTCCTCACTTCCTGAGTTCTTGGACTTCATTATTCTTGTGTAAGATCGTTTTAGTGGTAAACAATAAGAAGTCTGGACTTGTTCTGGGCCATCCACTCAAGCGACAATTTCAGAGCTCCTTTTTTTGGGCTTGCTACAACACCCACCCCAAAAGGGACGCCGCGCAGAGACAACGCCCCGCTGCTCGATGTCGCGCGCCGAGCCGCCGGATCGAAGCCCAGGGCTTCGAGATGTCCTGTGAGCCTCCGCTGGTGCTGCTGGCGATGCCCCCAGGCGACTTTCGATCGCGAGCCAAAACGCGAGATCCGCGCCGCGCGAGCGCCGCTTGCTGCCGGATCTTTTCTTGGTGGTTCCCAGCCATCCGGTTCCTTGGCTTTTGAGCCGTTTAGTGTTTGGCGGGGATTTCCATTTAAGCCACTCAAATGGAAACCGGGGGATCTGAGGACAGCCCAGATCTTGGTCTTGAAGGGGAGGGGTTCCTGTTCGAAACAAGGACCAAAGGGGTGCCAAGGCGTGTTTCCCCATGGGACAAGACATCAGGGGTCTGGGGTGCTGAGATTCGCATGGCTCAATGGTGGACCCCGTGGCTCTGATTTCAAAGGCACGCAAGGAAGCACGCCAGAAGCCATGTCCAGGTGTCCAAACCCACATTCTGCAAGCAGACGGTTGGACCTGTGGCTGTGGATTTGAATAGACCCTAGCATCAAGCAGAATCTGTCTATTGGTTGAAATAGGAGGTGGTTGAAAGGGCCCTGCGAAATCGGATCCCCTTTCTTGAGGAGCAGACTGGAGGTGCCGCTGGGCATCCCTATGGCCACCACTTGTGAGGTGGTTCCCTATGGGCAGGGAATGTGGTTGAATGAACCGGTTTTGAGGATTCTCTTACAAAGGAAAGTGCCAGTTGGATGGTTTATCTCGGGCTCATCCCAACTCATTCCCTGCCTGTCGCAGCAGCAAGTATTCCGCCATGGGTCAACACTCTGTGCTTGTTGGCCGATTGGGTCATGGTTCTCTGAATAGAAACCATTACAACGGTGATTCAGGATCCTTGCCATGACTATCCCTGATGACCCCATGTAAACTTGCTGGTGCTCAGCAGGGAATGACCCCTATAAACCATCCGACTGGTGGCTTCCTTTATTCGGGAGTCCCTTTTCGGTTCATTCAACCATATTCCCTACCCACCGCAACGTGGGAATGAGCCCTATAACCCATCCCTTTGGTTTTCCTTTAAGGGAAGGCCTGGGTTCATTCCCACATTCCCTACCTATCGCACCGGCAAGTAAAGAAACTCCAACTACTGTACCTCCATTTGCTTAAGACTATTTTGTATTTTCCCTTGTTGGTTTTAAAAAGAATTGATCACTACCGGACAGATTTTGTATTTTTTTTCCTGGGGCCTTAACCAAATGGAAGTAACCCATCCCTTGTGGTTTCCTTGAGATGTTCCTTTAAGGAAACCCCCGGGTTCATTCCCACATTCCCTACTCAGCACCAGCAAGTAAAGAAATTCCAACTATCCTGGGGGCTGGGCGGGAGGGAAGGGGGAGGGAGCCCAAATAATCCCAAAAATAAGCTCTCAATAAGGCCTTATTTAGGGCCTTTTGGGGCTCCCTCCCATCCCTCCCCTCCCTCCCCCCTGTGAAAACCGGTTGAAAGGAAGGTCCCCCCCTTAAAAAAGGTAGCCCATAAATATGCCTAAAGTCTACCCTCCTGTCCATGGACCTCAGCCTCCATGAAACTATAAACTGGCCATCCTTCCGTTCGCGTCAGACCGGAGTTGCCAGGCAGCTGCGAGGCCTTCCACGTCCCGGGGCTGGACGACCACGACGTCGTGGACTTCCGCCTGGGAGCGCCTGGGAGCGGAAGATGTTCGGAGGTGCCAAGAGGTCTGGCCCAGTCTTTGGTGCATGTTGCCAAGGGGTGTTCGGACCGAATAGTTGTTTTTTTGCCAGTTTAATGGGTTTTCCGTATTAAACCGCTAAAAAATAGACTTTTAACAGGGGAGCAGAAAGCAACCGAGCAGTCATTCCAGTTAATGTTGACCCCATCTACGTCCCCCAGCTAGGTGCATGGGTTACGCAGGTGTTTGTCTTTGATTTCATTTACAAAGGTGGTACATGTTTTTGATCCACAGCCAGATGAATCAACCTCAGTTTATTAATTGGCGGCTGGGGGGGGCCCTCCAAAAGCGGTCCGATCCCCCACATTTCACCCAGGGTCCCCCCCATGAATAAGCTGGGGTTGATAACATCCCCCTGGACCCTCCTGGTTCCTTGGGACCTTTTGGGACACTTTGCGTGTGCCACTTGGAGTAAACATTGTCACAATTTTCGGCAACCCAGGGAACCACACTTTGAAAACCAAAAGGACCATTGGCTGGTTACCTATGATAGCGGTAGCTGCAATATCCACTGGGCATGGTCGGTTTCAGGCGAGCAACAACTTAACAGAAGCAAACCAAAGTTCAAACAGAAACAAGTGGTGCCCTCCAACCCTTTGTCCCTTGTTGGAAGGGGCGCCTTCTTGAAAATTAACTAAATCGGTGCTGATACCTTTCATGGCCAAGCCGCCAGAGATGTCAGGGCGGGACCCCGTTCCAGTGAGGGTTGCTTTCTCGGGGAATCGGATGAACTACTGGGCTTTCTCATCCAGCATGACCAACACCCACAAGGTGGCGCGGTGTGTCCCCACTAGCTCCAAAAAGGAAGCCCCAAATTGGGGGGGGGGGTTGCCCCCTTGTTTCCCATCTGCAAAAGCGACGCGCCCAAACCACGCCAGAAGATTGATAGCAAGCTATGTTGGTGTCCTTTGAAGTTCGTGGGGCGACATGACCAAACGTGTCTTGGCAACACCAAAGCAGGGGCTACCTTTCAACCGCCCTTCACTGAATGATACGCTTCACTTCTGGTGGTGTTCCGTTTTGAGGGGGGTCCTTGGCAAGCTCCACAGCGAATGGAAGGGACCTGGGTTTCCTTGGTTGGCTTCAAAGACGTGCGTTTGCGATCCTTTGCCCTATTTCAGGATCGCCGTTTGGCCATCTTCCATCCTTGGCCTCTGAAATAGTTCACCTGTTCATCCTCTGCTGCCTTGCTTCTGGTTGGCCTTGAGCTCTGCTATTGGGTCGCTTTGTGGCTGCTACTCCCCGTGTTTGGCCGCATTTGCCCGGGAGTTGCCCAGTGCTAACCTTGGTTCTAAGCTACCTCCGTGGGTTGAACATCCAACTTCTGTGTTGGTGAAGCTCTGAGTGAAGGAATGCGTCGGTTCAAAGGTCAAGAACGTACACAGGGTGGAATGACCACCATCTTAGAAAGGTCCCTGACCACTTCCATGATTTTAGCAATACAATCATTCCATAGCTCTCATACGTTTAGGAATCAGGCCCTGTCGAGAGCTATTGTTGGAAAGAGGGTTGGGAAGGAACTCTGTGTCTCTCGCGGTCTCTCTCTCTCTCTCTCTCTTTTTCTCTCTCTCTCTCTCTCTCTCTCTCGTTCTTGCTTTCTCTCGCTCTCTCTTTCACTCTGTCTCTCTCTCTCTCTCTCACTCTCTCCCTCCTTTCAGTGGTGCCAAAAAACTGGCTCCCTCGAAGGAAAAGTTTTCGGCCAGCTCAAAAAGAACAACTACCGGCTCAGGATCCAATCCTTGAAATCTGGCAGTTTTGGGATGTATCCTTCAAGGATTCCTGGAAACCTCCCCCAAAGCGGAAACCAACCGGGAAGTGCATGTCCTTTTCGTTTCTCTGACAGAAATCCTGACCCTGACCGAATCAGCAAATTCCCATGTCAACCAAAATTGCTCGTCCAGCGGGTTGCTGTTTCTCTTTTTTCTTTTTTCCTTTGTTGGAGGGGCTTCCCCAAAAAAGAAGAGCGGCGATTTTCTTGTAGCCCTGACTTGTTTAAAGGCCCTTTAATTTAGATGTATGTGTCCAAACAAGCTTTAACCTTGTTGTTTTTTTTCATTTTGTTTAAAGGCCCCTTAGGCCCCTTTTAAATTAAATTAAAGTATAACAAACCAGTGGCCGTGTTTCCCATCACCGTCTGGCAATATGGCTTAGGGCGCTTTGACCGCCGGCGGCGAGTACGAGCTCTCCGTATTCTCCAGGCGCGAGGAGCCGCAAGTCAAGCGGTGTGCACAGGTGTCCTTTTTAGGTTAGTTTGGTTAGAAATTCAAGGCACTGGTTTAGACAAACTAACCATAGGTGTGCTTTTAGATGGGCATAGGTGTGCTTTTTAGGCGGGACTGGGTAAACATAGATGGGTCCCACTGGTTTAGATTGGTTTTTATTCCATTTACCAGGGAAGCCCATCTCTTTTCCCAGAAGGACGCCTATAGCGGTGTTCCATGCTGAAAAGACCCCTCCACCTGGGTGAGTAATCGTCCATTTGCTAAAAAAGGTTGTTTTCCCCTTGTTGGTTTTAAGGGGAATCTATCGGATTTTGTTGTTGCTTAAGAAATCTGTCTATTTTTTCCCTTGTTGGCTTCAAGGGGAATCTATCACGACTGGATGTTGTTGTCGTTTGCCAGGGGGGTTTAAGCAAAGGGAGGTAGCCCATAAATGTCGCTGTTCCCCAAAAGCAAACCCGAAGGGAGACGTTTCTTTTACAAATTCCAAAAAAGGAAAAGAACGAGACCCCCTCTTCAACACCCGGGTAAAGGGGTCTTGCGAGCATGGCACGTGGGAGGACGACCCGTTTACTTGGGCAAAAATACAAGACAAAATCCTGCTGTTGGTTTCCTTTTGGGCAAAGTTGAAACTAAAGGGCTATTTAGCACCCAGTTGCTTGGGGGTGGTAGATAAGAGAACCATCACCATTTGACCATGGCACGAACGGCCTCAAATTACCAAGATTTGGAGGTCTCCCCAACCTGTTGATCGATGACCAGCGCGGTTGTGAGACAAGAAACAGTCAGGTGTGTTTCGGATATCTTTCGTGTTGGGTGTGGGGGGGGGGGCCAGACCTCATGTGTCTGTGTTCGTGCCATGCTCCGATGAATTCAGGAGCCATGAAACAAATACCTAGAGGCAAACCTCCAAGCTTCAGGAGCTTAGTTGCTCAGCTTGGCTCATGAAACCTGCCATTGCGGTTGATCTGGTAGCGTCCTTCGTTTCGAAGAGCCTTTGAAACGATACCTTCAGCGATCGCATGCGCTGGTGGCGATCTCCGAAGGGCAGAGAACAAATGCAACATGCTCGCCATGCGAGACAGGCCCATTGAAAGAGGAGCATGAGTTGGCAGAGGGGTGTTTCTCAGGTAGGCGAGTTGTTTTTCTTCTTCTTCTTCTTTTTCTTTTTCTTTCTTTTTATTTTTTTCGGAGAGTTTGAATTTTAGTGGCAATAATTCCAATCATGATCGGCACAAAGAGCGAGCTGACAGATACAAGGAGCTCACGGAATGTTCTCCGGGGATGCCTCATTCACTCACTTTTGTGAGGTCCTGGACGTTGGTCGCTTTGGGTCTCAAGCATGTTAATGGCAAACACAAGGTTTGAAGTTAGTTTGGGCAATCCACTCTGGAAGTGAGTTTAGATGTCTAATTTATACAGTAGTACACGCTTGAAAACATGGAACATTGAAACGAACGATGAACTAAATAAATTGAACATGTAAATGACATGAACGTTCAAAGAGAGGCGACCAGTCGGGGCCTTCGGTCGAAGCTGATCGATGGTCTTTTGGGGCTCGGAAACGAACCCAAATTGTCTATCGTCCTCTTTGAAAATAGAGGAAGCTACTCAGCCGAAAAGTGCACACCAACTGCTCTTCTGGTTGGAAGCATCGCCTCAAAGTGAGTTGGGCTTTCGGGTTGACGTTGAAAGGGGGAACATATGGGAAAGACTTGGTTGTGCTCCACGCTGTGATCCATAGGTCCTATGGCATAGGAGTTGAGCGGGAAATTGGTACACAGCCACGCCAACATGTGGTCACGATTTCCGGTGTATGGTCCGAACGCACTACATGTCCCACAAAAACCTGGCACTGAACTTAATTGATGTCCCACGTTGGCCATGACTCATACTACTGGGCATGTTAGTAGGGGTCTGTGATCCACAAAACCACGGTCCAAGGCATGGATATCCTATTTGACCATGAATTCTAAGAGTTGGAACCACTTCAACACCTCTTGGTGGACGTGAATCGCCGAATTCTGTCCTTCAATTGGTCAGGACCCATTGAATTTTTTTGCGCCCCATTTCGTGGGGCGCCTCGCTGACTTCGGTTGGCCAGAAACCCCACCACCATTCCGAGCAGCCTCAGCCGCCTCACTCTCAGCAGATCTCCTGCGCCAGTCTTCCATTAGCTTTTGTTTGTTTACTCTCCCCCCTGTTGGTTTAAAGGAATCTATCACTATCTATCACTACTGGAAATATGTGTTTTTCAGGCAACGCGAATGGAGATATTTGTTTCGGGTCGGGGGTTCCTACTTTGTGGGAGCCTGGATCGCCGGTTGGTTGGGTGTTTCTTCCCTGGCGTCACCGTGACTGACAACAATCCGGTAGCTCAAGTTGGTCCCACGTCCTGGTTCCTGGTGTTCATGAAGCTGAGACCGGGCAATTCGAAGTCGCGCTAGGCCTTTTCAAGTAAATCCGTCAGATCATGGCCATGTCTGGCTTACCTGGCCTTCTTTTTTCCCTTCATTTTGCAGTTAAAAAGATGGCAAAAGCAGCGTTGGTGGCATTGGATTTTTGGATTCCGGATGGGCTCTTGGTTTTGATTGTCTCCCAAAGGTTGCCAAGTCTATGAACTATGATTTCAGGGTATTGATTTTGGCGCAGCCCAGAGTTGGTTCAGAGGGCCACGCCACCAAAAGAGCAGTTTGTGCTAGGCGCTTTTGGGGACAAGCTCAGACTGCAGTTGGAAGCTAAAAGGAGCGAACCAGTTCCATCGTTGGAGTATGTCTCTACATCGAAGTCCCAAAATGGGTTGCTTACCCTTGGCTTCCTTTTAAAAACCCCCTCTAACCAGGGCACCCTTAACAACTGCCACCCATTTGGGGACCGGGAGGGGAACCGCCACTTTTGGTTTCAACCGGAAGCCAAAAAGGAAGCCAAACCCCTGAAGTGGCATAACCTCCGAACCTCCCTCGCAGCCAAACCGGGTAACTGAAAGGACTACCAAAGCATTTGCCCCTTGCCGTTGGTGACATGGGAATGAACCATTTTGCAACCCCCCTAAAAGAAACTACACTATTTGTTTTTGTTTGATGTCGACCCTGAGGAATACAGCCCCACTGAATATTAAGGGGTGTTCCTGTGTAGTGCGGATTCCTTTCTTCTGGGCGGAGTCCAAAAAATAGCGGGAGAGACAATTAATCATCGGTCAACGCATTCCCTCATCCAAAAACTTCGGATCTAAGTAGAAAACCTCATCCCAATAGGGGGGTGTCACCCACAAAAGCGATATGGGATTTCCACGCCCAGGCTGGGGTGTGCTGCTGTCGGGTGATGAGGTCCTGGAAGCCAACATGGAGGCTGTGCCCGAGTTCCGGACCTTCGAAGTTGTTCGATTTGTGCCGTTGTCCTAAGACAACGCTGGACTCAAATGCTATTGGCTTGGATCTTTTTCGCCTTTCACTTGGGACAAGACGGTTTTCCCACTTACCTGCATATGTTGAACATCTTCAGCACAGTTATTTCATCTACTACGAGAAAGATACACTTTCTGAACAATACGTAGCCATCGTGCTGAGCAATACGTCCATGATCAGGGTTGCATTGAAGCAGCGGCATATTCCATCGTGCAGTTCAATTTGAGCAGCGCAATACAACTCTTGAATCAATGCAGAGCGGAATGGATGCATCAAAGGTCAACAGCTCGCTGAGCCACCTGATTTGGCTAGAAGAATCTTTTGAGGAGTCCTCTAAATTAACACTCACTCAAGAATTTCAAGAATTGTCACACATTGTCATGTGCCCTGTGTTGGGGTGTATCTCTAGAGCCGGTGAAAAACCATGCGTTTCTGCTATAACTGGCCAGTCCAGATTCCAAGTTTCCCATTTGGGTGGCTTTCAAAGTCAAAAACACCCTGAAGATGGTTGGTGACCTTTTGGTCCAGAGAAGGTGGGGGGGTGCGTTTTTGAGGCTTCCCTTGCAAATGACCAAAAAAGCGGGAAACTTGGAGCAGGCTCCTCTTTAACACATCGCCCCACCCCGATGCCCCAGGCCGAGTTTTCCGCCGCTTCGACCCGAACCTCGCGAGGTGCCACAGTACCCTTTGACGGACTTCGGTATGGAGCTCCTCTCGCTTCAGTCGAGCAACGCCGCGCCTGGGATGGAAGGATCCGGATCCGGGAGGCGTGTTTGTCGCGTCCTTTGGGGGTGAAAGCCTCACTTGAAATCTGGACTGGGTGTTGAATCGCCCGTGTGTTCTTGAATATGGCCAAAGAGAAACCAAAAGGGGAGTGGTATGTTTGGTGAATCGCCCATGTGTTTTTCTCATATATATATATATATATTATATTGTTAAAGAGAACCAGTTCACTTCGGATTTTGTCCGGAGTACCGTGCTGGGGGTCCTTCTGACACTTCTGACTAGTGGAGTCCTCAGGATCAATCCGAAGTTCTTAAGATTTACTATATTGTGAAGGAATGTTCAGGATTGAAACAGACAAAAACAGCATGCGAGGTGATGTGGGGGCTGGGCCAAGTTTTGTCAGGCTTTTGAAACCCCCCAAGATCAGCCGGAAAGCCCAACAAATGTTGTTTTTTTTGTTTTGAAGTCAGGTGTTTAAAGGGAAGTCAACATTTGTGTGACCAATTTTAAGACAGACTCCTTTGGGAAGAAGCCGCCGGGGGAGGTCCTGTGGAGTTGGAAAATGTATCCCAGGCAAAGTATCGCGCCCTGCAAATCTCTTGCTCCGTGTCCCCAAAAATCCACCTCAAGAAGGGCTCCCTTGTTTTACCAGGATCTGGCTTTCACGGCATGTACCCTCCTTCCAACAATGGAAGTGGACCGGAAGGTTTTGGAAGAACATAATGTCCACCTGGGTTTTGTAACCCCCGCCACCCCCGAACAATGAGGGCACCTGAAATAGCATCTTGAGATGCAGTCCAATTGAGTTCCCATTCGGCATTGGTTGATTGAGTTTCCATTTGATTTCGTATTGTTGGAGCTTCCTTTCAAAATTTGGAACTGAGTTTCCTTTTGATCAAGTATTGCTGGAGCTTCCTTTTGATATTTGGACCTGCGTTGCCATTTGATTCAGTAATGCTGGAGCTTCCTTTTGCGATTTGGACCTGAGTTTCCATTTGATTTAGTATTAGCTTCCTTTTGTTTTGTTTGGGGCGGGTCAGGCAACAACTCCTGAAACAATGCTACACCGGGAGCCTGAAGAGATTGTGGGCAGCTTTGCAAAACAAATCCAGACGGACAGACCATAGCTGTGATTGCAAGCAGCATATGGGTCTGTGCCAAATGTTGTTTGTTCATCTTTTTTGTTGATGTCCCTTAACACCCAAACTTAATAGGGTATCCTTGCGGGCCAGTGGTACCCAAAGCCCGGTGCGTTTCGCGGCATGGGCGCCGTCGCCAATTGAAGTGTTGGTGAAGCTTCGTGAACTTGGTCGGCTCATATATTGGTATTTGACAGCTCACCCATGGTTCAAATCACTAGCGTGCCACATGTTGCCCGGCACAGCCTACGCTAGTTTGGAAGGGGTTGCAAAAAGTTTTATAGATTGGGCTCTACATAGACTCTTTGCGCTGCTTTCACAAAGGATTTCTTCACCTTAGGCCATTCATCATGGGTAGCGTTCCGCCTTGGAACCGCGAATTTCTCCTGGAATGACAAAGGCAAGCTCCCCAGAACCTCTCTGCCAAACCACGACCAGTGGGCCTACCCCACAATCCCCCCCCCCCTCCCCACTCTCCGAAGACTCGTAGCAGCCCCGTGAAATGTTGGTAAACTTTATCGCGAGAGTTGGGATGGATGAAACCCTATGACGTTGACCCCATATTAATCAACCCCAGTTTAGCTTCATAGGGGGGCGTGCTTCTCCCTGGGTTTAGACACTTTTGGAGGGGCCAAAGACCACCCCCCTATGAAACTAAACTGGGGCTGATGAATATGATATGGGGTCAACATTACTGGGACCAGCCCCGCTGGTGCCTGGCATTGAGTTTGCCTCACGCTTAGGCTCCCAATGCCAGCAACGAGGCAGCTGAAAAACCTTCGTCGCCTGAAGGGGGCGGGGCTCAACGCGTTGGTACTTTTTCTGAGCCAATGTTGTTTGTCTTGCTTGTGCTCAGTAGGAAATGAGGAGTTGATCCCAGGAGTCTCCTTAAAGGAACCATGGGGGAGGGTTTCTAGGGAGCATTCCCTCATGCCCTGCTGAACACCAGCAAGTTGTGTTGAAAGGGGATGCAAAAGGTTATAAGTGATTGCCATCTAATCGGGCCCCCTAAACCTAAGAACTGAAGGCAACATGGAGCGTTTTCGTGCTTGGGATTGAATTAGTCAGAGGGCAGCCCTAAACACCAAGCAAGCAGAAGTGAGGCTGCTTCCCTACCATATGTCAGAAGATGCCTAAAAATGCGGGACCACCCAAAGTGCTGGGCTTCCCTTTTTAGATTTCCCATTCAGAGCCACCTGAAAGGGCCCAATTTGTTTTGAGGCACACCCAACTGGGTATGTCCCAAAACTATTTCGCCAATTGACAATCAACTGGATCACCGTGTCAGATTTGGGGCTTGAATTTGTGCAATGGCTAATTGACTAGATACATTAGTTACATATTTCCCTGGCCACAACGAGGGTATTGGTTTTCTTGGTGGCGCCACTCCTGCTCCGCCGATAGCAAGAACAGGTTCTCGATTGAAGGTCGCGCAACACATTGTGAGTGTTTCCGAATTTCTTGACAACGTATTTCGAGAAGAGAGGCGGTGTTCAAAAAGTTGTTTCTTGGAGAACTGGCATTTTGCTGCAAACAACCGCTTAGTCAGGCAGTGCTCCGGTGAACCTGGGTTGCATGGTTGAGCCGGGAAGCAGATTTATTGAGGCTCGCCCCCGTTGCTTGGCATTTCTGTTTGGCGGGAAGGCAAGCAACGCCGCGAGGCAGGTGTCTTTGGACCGCAGCGCTCATAACGCCACCATAACGCCACCATAGAGAAAGAAAAACTGGCGAGAAGTCCATGCGGAATGGCCGGCTGAAAATTACGTGCCAACATATTGTGTTGCTTCAAATAGTCATGGGCGTTCCGTCCCATGCACCCACTTTTAGTCGACACACCCAAATCCTTGTTCTTGCAGCCCAAAGGGTTCCTTTGTGATCATAGCAGCTCATGTTCACCCCTGTGTTTGATGATTTTCCGTGGGTGACAGTTGACATATGTGTTTGATATGCTTGTCGTCTTTGGTGCCTACCCTCCCAACGCAGATGGGACAGTCCTCCTTTTGGTGAGAAGCACGTGTTGCAACCATATCATGTGGATTGTGGACAATCTCTTGGTCAGAGCCCGACCCCCAAAAAACACTGTATTGTAAATTATGGCTGGCCCCCATTGATGTTGGGATTGTAAGGAAATCAACCGTGCAACAAGAAAACGAACCAGAAATTCAGCAGACCAAAGGAAACCAAAGCAAACCAACCGTCATTTACCATTTGCCAAAGGACACCGACAACCCAGTGGCCCAGGGAGAGCCAAACAAGCCGGCGCCAACCACGCACGACTGGACCCACCATTTAGCGGTTAGGAAACAACACAAAAAGACACCGAAGACATGACGAAAGCTTGGAGAAAAAACAACTTGCAAAGAGCACCACTCATAAAAGCCACGGAAACCACGGAAGGAATCCAACCATCTGCCCAGAGAAATGGAAGAACCTGCAAAAGGATACCAGCCATTTCTCCAGACAAGGAAAACAGTCAACTGGACACCAGCCAAGTGCCAAAAAGCGTGCCTGCTCAGTTCTGGGTCCCCAAAAGTGGTTTTGAGGGTGTTTGAATTGAGGGTGGGAACCCGTTTCAACCACAGTTTTTGGCGGCCCAGCTGGATGCTGTCATCTTTGTATCAGGCAGCTCCAAATACATATTTTTGCTCACCCTATCTTCCTTTTGGTGTGGGTTCTCACTGGTCAATCTTGCAAACGAATGGTTCTGCATAATTTTCTTGCGAGCTCGCCGATCCGGGGCTAAAACGAGCTCACCACGATAAAGACCCTTTACACTTGGCCTTCCAATGTTCTTCCTTCAGGTGTTGGAGATATGGCAAAAGAATCGGCGAATGGCTGGCCACTGGCGCGCCAGGTGCGCCTGCAGCTGCGCTTCCGCAGTCTCTCGCTGAGCGGCATCAGCGAGGTGCCGACCCCTCGATGTGCCGTGGACGAGATGCTCGCCACGAAGTGAAGCCATCCGTTGGCTGGAGGGAAATATCAAATTCCTGGGAAACAATGTATGGACACCATTTTTTGCAAGGAAACATGGTTTTGTAGTGTTTACATCGGAATCGAATCATTTTTTAGGGTTTCTTAGGTAGTTCCTCCATCCACAGTAGGGCACCCCGTGGCAGCCGTTTCCTGTTGGCTTCCCTACCGAAAGGGGCCCACCAGAAACCAGTTAGGTTGAGCTCCATTTGGCTCGGGGGTTCAACCCCCCGCTAAAACTTCACCAATTTCAAAATCACCAATCAAGGGCTGCCCGCGGTTTGGCTGTAGCCCATTGGTGGGAGCCATTCTCCATATAACCTTAGTTGGTTAGGTCGTTTTCGCTGAAACGCGCGTGAGTCCCATGGTTTTGGGCTTCAGAAGTACTTGCTGTCTTGAATGCTATTGCTATTTGGTTGCATCCTCAACCTTTTCACTGCCCGCGTCTCGCTTGTATTTTCCACCAACAAACAGCTGAGCACTTGGGCTGGGGGACCACCAAGGTTGAGACATTTGGGCGGCGCCCCGTAAGATGTTTGCCGGGCTCGGGACCCACGGCAAAAGCGAATCATTTCCAAGGAAGGGTGCCCTGTTTCTCCAGGGTGGCTGTGCTGGGCGGCGATTCTACGAATTGGGTGTTGAAGGCCAGATTCACCAGGAGTCGGGGGAAACACCCGCCTATCGATCTGGCAGGTTGATCAATCCGGGGCGAACGCTTGTACTGAAAAACGCAAGTAATGACGTGGGGTTTACGGTTGGCATGAGTGTTTCCACCCCCAAACACACACCAAGAAACTCAGAGGAATCCTATGTGGGTGGGCGTGTGGATAATTGTTTGAGCGTGCCCTTGATTGGATTGGCTTACAAGGAAACCAAAAGAAGTCAACCATCCATTTGGTGGGTCCCCCTATTTTAAGTTAACAAATGTTGCGGGTCCCTGGTTCATGGTTGTTGGTGGGAAACATTTTGCATTTTTGCTTATTGTGGGTTTAGTGGGAAATCCCCACTTAACTTTTAAAATTCAAATTGTTGCTCCCCTTCCAACGTCAGCCAAGGGTTTACGACAAGCCGCAATGCACGCGCGGCGCATCTTTTTGCACTGCGCGGCCGAACGACTTTGCAGCCACGTGGCCCAAATGTGTGACCTGGGCTGATACCGAACCGCCAGTGGCCCAGGAGCCGGTTCTCTCTAACAATCAGTGGACCCCCCGCAAAAATAAATGAATACGCAAAAAACATATGTAAAAACAATAAAATCATAAATAAATGAATAAATAACAAATAAATAAATGAATAAACAAATAAATGAATAAGTAAGTAAATAAATAGTGAAATACCTTCATAAACATTTTTTTAAGCCACACCAAGAAGCGTTCCCTCAAGAAAAGACAGACCCAACCCGGAGTCTAGGGATTGCCTCATGGGATATGACTTGCAATTGTGGGGCCGGGTTTTGTGAAGGGCTTCCCTGAATCCCTCCCAGGACTCCTTCGTGGTATTTCAGTGGCCGTTCAGAACCGTTACGCTTGATCGGCTCTCTGAGCATTTTCGCGGTCGTAACTCTCTTGGCTTTGCACGGCGCAGAACTACCAAGCTGGTGGGGCGTGCTGCAACTCAGCTAAACGCGAACTCGAAACCATCGCAGAACTCAATAGGCCCAAGGATTTTCGCATGACACATTTGGTGAAGGCTGTTTTTCCAACCCGCTGCTTGAAGTTACCACTGGAGGGTGGAATCACCCCGAGATAAAGCGTCCAGTTTCGGTACGCATGTTCGACCCAAATTGTATACCTAGAGTCTCCATGAGGCCAAAAGAAAAAGGGGCCATGACCCCAAAAGTTTGGGCAATGACCAACCATTTTGTAAGGGTCATGGAGAGTCCAGGTAGTCACCTACAGACCTAAAAACCCAGAGGTGAGATGCCGCGCCGAGGTCCCATGAGATTTCTCCTGGGGTGCGAGTCCCGAGATCGGCTGATGCGCGACATGCACGGGGCGAACTGTCTGAGTTCCGGAGCCTTGTGACGTATTTTTTTGGGAGTTGAGTGGACCATTTTGGAAGCAGGTCCATTTTTGTTTGATTGGGCACCCGCCATTTTAGTTGCAACCAGTTTGGAATTGGTTGGGTGTCCAATCTCGATCGGAAGTGAGGGGGCTGTGACTGATTACGCATATTGTCCTCTGATCATAACGGAATTGGATTTGGCAGCACCGGACTTGCGCATTCTGATTGCCGAGGCCCTGGTAGTCTTCCCAAGATGTCCCTGAAAGCTTAGTTTTGAGCACTAGTTCAAGGTAAGTTGCCTTGTGGTGGGGTCGTGTTCAAGCCCAAACATGGGTGTGTGTTTATCTTACTTTGCGGCTTTCCCTTTTGAGATGGTTGAAAAGGGAAACCAAAGAACAGCCAGAGTGAAACCAGAAAATCATTTTGGGGGATCCACACATTTCGATACACCAGTGTTCACCCGAACTTCAAGATTCACTCATGAATTGACTGTTTCCAGGTATTGTCAAAGTCAACAACTGCAAAACCTACCACTTGGGGGTGACCTTGACCATGATAACAGTTGACAACCATTTACTTGGGGTCTCTGAGTATGAGATGGACCTTGAGGCGCGAATGCTGCACAGGTAATGCAAGTGGTTCCCTCTTTTCGCTGCGAGCTGATCAGACTTATGATCAGACTTAAGGCTTCAAGAGTCCTGGATGTTTGTTCAAACAACCAACCTAACAGGATATCTTTGGTGCATTTTGCTTGGATGTTAGGACTTGATTTTTTTGCCAACTAATGGGTGTTCCATTAAACCACGAAAAGTTTACACTTTTAGCAGGGGAGCAGAAAGCAAGCATGGTGACTCAATGTTTGAGCGGCGGGTTGGCCAATCCCGTCGCTGGGGGAACATGTTCTCAGCTGAAGACCCGCTGTCAGGACCTGAAACCATCCGTTCAAACTATAACAAGGTGAGCGAAGACCTACGATGAACATCTCTCACTTGAGATCCCCTTTCCCATTTAGCAACTTGCCCAGAAGCAATGGAATAGCGGTGGCCACAACTTTCCCGCCGCAATTCGTATTTTTCTGTGAGTGTGTGCCTCCCCCCCAAAGCAAAAAGAAAGAACCATAAATGTGGGTTTCCTTTGGTTTCCCTTCAAATCCACAAAGTGAAGGGTATCCTAAACGACGTACACATATTTTATGTGTTGTTGTTGTTGTTTTTTTGGGGGGGTTGAGGCTCTCGGTGAGGGGCGTGAAAGGGAGCAGAGATCCACTTGAGATGTTCCCAAGGCTCCTCCTCCTGCAGCTAAATGCTGCAGTCCAGGCCGGGGGATTTTGAAATCCTTTCGAGGGGATGAGTTTGTTTCACCGGGGGAGGGAGGTCTTACCTTCCCCTAACGATCGCATGGAAGCTCCCACCACGAAATGGAAGACTTGTTTTTGCATATGCCGGATCGGCCTTCTGGGAGCTTCCATGGTGGTCTAAGGGAGTGAGGGGATTTTTGTCGAAAACCAGCGTGGGGGACGTTGAAATTGGGGAGTGCCATGCTCACTGACTCTGGCTTATTCAGGCTACATTCCCAGTTCCCTGATGGGACTGTCGTTCAAAGGAGGTACCGTGCATAGACAAAATCCGCGCCGCCATTCAAATCGGGGCAACAAATCCGTCCCAACTGTTGGCGATCGCAGATTAGCCCGTCCACATGACATGCGGGGTTTGACAGCCGGGAAGCGACCCGCCATCATGTTTCACTGGCTCACTGTCTGCAGATTATATGAGCAGGAAGCACCTTTTGGGAGCTCCCTTTTGGGCTGTATGAGCTCTACGCTGTCCTTTTCGGCTCGGCTTCCGGCACAACTGTGCAATGCTCCTTGCTTGGGACCTCACCTTTTGATCGCTTTTTGAGCCATTTTTCCATGAGGGCAACTGACTTTACACTGGGTCTATTGGGGTTCAGTGAGTTTCATGTGACTTTCGGTTTTTTTCAGACAGAGAGACAAACAGACGCAGCGAAAAAAAACAAAACATATCCCCATCCCTTTTAGAAGGATCACATCTCGAAGGTTTCTTCAACTTTTCCTGGGCCTTTGGTGTCCTCCCCGCCAGATTGAGTAGGTACTGTTGGACCAATGCTCAAACGAGTATCCCTTAGTGCGATGGCATGGGGCGGAGTGATCTGCCGGTCTAACTAGACACTATGGACGAGTGCGCGCGGGTGTCATTCGGCGGTTGAAATGGAACGGCGACATGTTCGGGTTTCAAAGGAAAGCCCAGGTTGCGTCAGTGGGCAAGTAAGGCATCATGGATAAAGCATAGGTTTCGCGTACGCATGGGATAAGCTGAGAGACTATCGCAATGCGGAGTGGCGCTTGCGTGATTGGAGTGGGGTCTCCTTTGAACCGTTCACGTTCTGTTGTGCTAATCGCCCTGGGTCATCAATACATATTTGGAAAACCCCCTCAGGCAGCCAAAATAAAGTATTTTGTTGTTTTCCAGACCCAGGAACCAACCATTTCCATTTGGAAGCGGCGCCTTTGGTAGCTTTGAAGGGGCTTCGAAATTGTGAGACAACCACATGCGCCATGCTCGAAGGGCCCATAAAAACTTAGGGTTGGCGGGGATGGTCATTGACCGGCCAGGATTCGAGGGAACCATGAGCAGGGCCCGATTCGAAGTTTAGACAATGTAGCCCAGTGCGAGAGTTGTGTATAGCCAAAGGATTTCCTTATGGCGCATGCCCAACCTTGTCAGTCTCGTTCGTGCCCCTTTGCCTTTTGGGTACAGCCGACCTAGTGCGTCTTTTGTCGCCTTCAAACATGTTGTTCGTGGAACCAAAGGCGCCTAGGTCCCCCAGTAGTGCCCTTTCTCTCCCCTTTTTTTGGTTGGGAGGGTTCCCCTACTAAAATAGACAAAACCGAAAAACAAATCGGGTACCAAC